TAGCCTGCATATCGCTCAGGGCGATGGGTCAGGGTAAATGAATACAACTCAACTCAACTCAACTCAACTCCATAGACCGTCCGTTCGAACCAAGTTCTCGAAGAGCTTGAGAACGACAAACGTCCCGCCCCTTGTCTTCCTCATGAGCTGTGGCTACTCGTCTTTGAAGCAGGCATCAGCCCAGTCACGCTTTGGTGTTCATGCCGCAATGTTTGTCGAAGTTTTCCTAACCTTGTGGATAGGGTGATGAGACAAACTTATTTGCCAAGAACATCTGTTCGTATGAGGTCTTTGATGACGAATGGACGTTCAATGGGAGAAACGTGCAGCAAGACGGACCCGATGGCCTTCTTCGACAGAGAGTTAGGGAGTTAGAAAGCCGCCGACCACCTGACATAGACTCCCAATACGAACCATACCGTTACAAAACAAGGTACGCGTTTCACTCTATTGACGGTACAATGGCCACCTTTCGCAACCCCGAACTGCAAAGGCTTCGAGAACCCTCGACAGGTCTACCCACGTGGGAGGAAGAGTGGTGCAGCGCAATGATTCAGGTCATGATGGAAAACTATCACGACTACATGGTATCCGTTAGTATTGGAGGAGGGGAAACTCCCACGGGCTTTGCTCTTTTTGACCACTCGCCAACGTTCAGCTACGGGAATTCGGAGCTTCGCATCCCCTTGCGTTCTGTTTTCGCTGCTTTCGATCGCATCTTAAAAGACATGTTTCACAAACAGGAGTCTTACTTGGAACGCGCGGTAAAGGTAAGCCTGGCTCTCTTTTCTTTTCTTTTCTATTTTCCCCTTCTTCTCTTTTTTATCATCCACTTTTTTTTAGTAACGCTCCCACTCATATGGCGCTTAGGAAGTTGGGTCTTACGTCCAAGAAAAACTGAACGGAACGCGGCAAGACCTAGAAAAGGCTCGAAGGGACTTGTGCTCTGCGTATTTCGACGAACTCAATTTCGACGAAGACGGTCCATACGCCCTACACGGATGGCCCGTATATGAAGTGGTAATGGAACATGGCTCGGTTTTCGTGGCGATTGATGAGCACCACGACTATTATCCTAACCGCGTTTACTGCTCGGACAACGTTCGGCCCTTACTAGGTCCCAGCGTTTTTCAGCCACCGTTTCATTTTCTAAGGGCGTAGTCGCGTAAAGTACCGTTAAACGAGGCCGGCGGCTGTATGCAGATTTCGGGTAACGAGACGGATGGTAAATGTTAGTTCATCACTCCAGTAGTTTTTAGATACTGCAGCAGACTGGTATTGTGCGCCGTGCTTCATGCCCAGCGACCAAGACGTAAAAGATGTCACAAAGGTACTTTGAAGAGTCAGCGCGATTCCCAGAAGCTACATAGCGCAGGCTCAACAAGACGCAACCTTGCGTAGGTGTGCGGAAAAGCCTCCAGACTCGAGGAAAATAAAAAGCACGCGTTGACGTTCTCACCACTATAGTGCTGTTGACCCTCTTCCCACGGTCGTTGCACCCTTTCACATAGAGGTTGAAGTGGTCGTGTGATCGCGATGCAGGGCGGGAAAAAACGAAGCGAGGCTGTCAAAACAAAATGCAAAAGATGATGCTACGGATGCGGTTCGAACGCATGCGGGTTGCCCCAATGGAAAACTTAAAATATCTTAAGTCCACCGCCTTAGACCACTCGGCCACCGTAGCGTTATCAAGACTTTGAATTTGGAGCTGCGCAATATGATCTGTGACTCGGCCCATGTTCGGCGACATACCTCCAAGTCGCCAGGCCCGACCGCCACGCGCGCACGCCTTCCCACCGGCCTGGACGCCACCTCGGCGGCAAGCACTTCCACCTCATCCTCAAATCGGCCCCCAAGCTTGGTGGGCGTTGGCGCGGCGTCGCGGGACGGCGCGGGTCATCTGCCCCACCTCGGCGTCACGTTCGCCGGCACAGCCTCGTTCTCTCAACTCTGGTCCTTCGACGCAACGCGGTACATGCGCGCCGTACCTATATCTCTCTCCGGGGACACTTGCCGCCTCATGCGCCGTGAAACGCAACGATGAACGATGTGCTCCCCTCGTACGAGGCCGCCAACACGCGCGATCCCTGGACCATCATTGCCCGATACATACCGTCGACGGACCTCTGTTCGGCGGCTCTCGTGTGCAGGCAGTGGCATGACATATTCACGCCGCAGCTTTGGGGGAACCCCGCGTCGCACTTTGGCGTGCAAAACGACGTCGTCTACGGTAATTTTTAGGCCCTACATACCTATCTACCTGCCTGCCTGCCTGCCCCTCGCCACCTGACCTTGCTGCTTAGTCGCCCTCACGCGCTTCAAGCGCACCCTCGCCTGGGCCAGGCTGAGCACGAGATGGCTCACCCACACGCTGCACTTCCCGCCCGCCCATGCCGAAATCTACGACGGCCCGCACTCGGACTGGCTCCGCGATATCCTCGAGCGCCTGCCGCGCCTGCAGTCGCTGATTGTAAGCGAGCTGCCTTTTTTCGACCATGGCGCCCTCACCACCCTCCGCCGTCCCAGCAATTTCCCATCAACCTCGCACTCGGACAGGCTCCCGCGACAACTGCCCGACTCTCCTGTCTTCGGCCTGCGCTATCTGGAGGCGTCGTGCTGCAAAAATGCTACGTACAGCGGCCTGGCCGAGGCGCTGAAGCACTTTCCCTCGCTTCTGTATCTGGATCTCTCCAAGACCAAGTCGGCAAAGGATGCGCATGTCTTGTCGGTGCTTAACCACTGTTTCAGCCTCCGGATCTTGAAGTTGCGGTCTATCGGATTGACGGACAAAGAGGTGGAAGCACTGGCTCGTGCCGTGAAGAGGGGACTGAAGAGCCTGGATCTCCGCGACAACCAGTTAACCGACAACAGTGCACGAATCCTTTTGGAGAATTGCTTCAAGGTCAAGAACGTCCCTCGATTGGGCCCCAGCGACACTCCGCCAGAGGAACCAGAATCCACTTATTCGTCTCTAATTTCGAGGGCAGACTCGGAAAGGCAAACAGGTCGCATATTTGACGAGCATAACAAGGAGGATCTAGATGCGCGTGTCCGTTCTGAGCTGGTCGGCGAATTTTCCGGGACAGCCATACTAAACGACACATACGACGGCGGTATTACTCATTTGTACATTTCGGATAACCACTTGAGCGTCGAGGGCATATCCGGTCTGCTTAGGTCAGGGAGACTCCAAGTTCTGGATGCCGGGACCGTCATGAGGGGAATAACCCGATCCAAGGCTCGCTCTCTCTTATTTCCGGAAGACAGTGACCCCACCGCGGGCTTCACCATGCCCGGCGCGGAAAAGCTGACTCCAATCATCAAGGCTTACGCATCGGAGAAGCTGACCTACCTGAGGATAAACCACGCCGTCGTCACCGAGGAGACTGCAATAGCCGATCTTGCTGCTGGCAGGCAAGAGCTCCAGGGCAATCTGGCCGTGTACGCCCCATCGAATGCTCGCGAGCTCGACGCTGTCACGAATCAAATACACGAAGTATCCGGCGACAGCGCTTTCCAAGAGATGTCAGGCGAGGAGTGGCGAGCAGAGCTGCCCGGAGACAGCCAGATTATCGCAGAGCTTCCTGGGGATATGCCCTACATGCCAGAAAAGTATCCTTCGAATCAGCCAGGAGTCGTCGTCGAGCGACCAGAGATTCCAAAGGTGAAGAAAGGGAGCGCCTTCGCCCCCGAAGTCGTGCCCGACCTGGGAAATCTCCGGCTCGCCGACGGCGAAGGGACGCTCGATACGCTCGACGGATCGGACACGCACTCCAGCGTCAGATCCTTGCAGAAAGGCCCGCTGTTTGTCGCGGCCAACGACAGGCGCTCGCGGCTCCAGCTGAGGCAATCGACCGAAAACACGCTCCATCCTCGCGACGTCGCACGCATCGAGACGCTCGTCCTCACCGACGTGCCCAAGGAGTCGACGATGCGCGAGTCGGCGCGCCGGCTGATCCAGTTCATCAGCGACTGCGCGGAGGAGGTGGCGATCGCCAAGATGCGGGCGCGCATCGCGTACACGCTGCCGCCGGGGCGAGACCGGCAAGCGGCGGAGCGCGAGTACGCGCGGTCGCAGTTCCAGCTGCGGCGCATCGTGCTGGAGATGGCCATGGACGAGGAGGCGTACGCGCCCAAGAAGCCGACGACGACGTGGCGGCAGTACCCGACCAAGAGCTCGACCGAGGACGCCGACTCGGAGGCGTTCTGGTCGGCGGCCGCGCACGACTTCTCCTTCTTCGGCGACGAGGAGTGCGGCATCCCGGGCATGGAGCCAGGACGCACGCTCCCGCTCGCGCTGCTCAGCGAGAAGATCATCCTGCCGTCGGTGGCGGATCCGCCGCCGGTGCTGCTGGCGCCGAACCAGCAGCGCAAGGAGCGCGCGGTGCCGTGCTTCGACGTTGTCAAGGAGGTGGCTGCGTTCCGCAAGGAGTGCCGGGCGAAGTATGCGGCGAGGGTGGCTGTGGGCGAGGCGGAGCCCGACGTGGAGGGCTTGTGGGAGGGGGAGGTTAGCGTGGTGAGGCCGAGCCCGAAAACGGAAATGAGGGGCGACGTGGATTGCTACGGGAATTATTACGAGCAAGGCTATAATTATCGATGAGGCGTGGGTGGATGGGTAGGTAGACGCGGTGCTTGCGTGCCAACTCGTACATTCACCGTTGGCCGCGAGAACCACCTCCTTGAGCTTCACGGGTCGGGGAGGATGATGTGGTGGAGGGCTCGGCCAGCTAGGTCCGCTTTTGGCGTGCTGTCGCGGGCATGTTCAGATCTACCTACAGCAGCGAGTCGAACATTGAGCGGGCAGGAAGTAAAACCATGCAGCGACTACACAGAAATTCCATCATCCCCACTGCCAAGTTTCCGTTCCACGCCTGCTCGTTAACTCATCCATTCATTCGTTCGTTATTTCAAGATTGCGTTAAGAAGGAGAAGTGAAAATCAAAATAAATTCGCCGGGATTGCTACCGCCGCCGCCACCAATCTTTATCACCGGCCTCGTCCTCGCCGTAGTCGTCCTCGTCGTCATCATACGACGTAAAGATGCCGTCTCTATGCCGCTTGGCGGGCGCGGCACCCTCCTTCATGGCCAATTCGTGCTCGGCCAATTCTTGCTTGTGCTCCAGCAGCCACTGCTTCATTTTCTGCCTATGCTGCTTCATCAACGTCGCCTGCCGTTTTCTCAACAACCTGTGGTTCCGCATGTGCTCTTCCTCTGTCGGCCAATGCCAGCGCAAGCGGATGCTGACGAATCCAGTGTGCGTGCGGTAGGTGACGATGTGGGGGCCCACGTTGGCGAACTCGGCCAAAAAGTTCGGGACGTCGCGGTACGCCCAGAAGGGCTGGGTGAAGCGCATGTTGTCGGGCGGCTCCTTTTGGACGGTGCCGTCGGGCAGGACCTCGTGCGGCTTGCGCCGGAAGCCCGGGCCCCTGTTCCCTTGCTCGTAGTACCACCTGCACCACCGCTTCAGCATGACGGCGTTGCGCTGAGCCACGCCCACGTCGCGTATCCGTCGCCGTTTGAGCGCCCACTTGGACGTTTTCGGGACGGCGCCGAGGCCGCGCGCCAGCCAAGCCGACCGGTGGGCTTCCAGGTTGGCGCTCAGCGTGGCGTTGTCGGCATGGATGGCGGCGAGGCCCTCTCGGATGCGGCCGACGACGATGTCGTAGCGCTGGAATTGGGTCAGGTTTTTGATCGACAGGTGGTACATTCTCAAGGTCGGGCGGACGCGGTACGGCTCGTTGGTCATGACCTGCCACAGCTGCTCGACGGCCTTGAGGGTTAGCCGCTCGGTCTTGTGGGCGAGGCCAAAGGAGCTCGAGCCTCGCGGCCAGGAGTGGCTAAAGGTCCACACGAATATCTCCTCCCACACGTCGATGCCGATATGGATGTCGTATGCGGTCGAGACCTGGTCGATGATGCGCAGGCTGGTGGTGACGCGGTTCGTGGCGCCGAAAGCATGGGCGATGGTGTGCAGCAGGCGGCCGGTGGGCCGCAGCGGGTGGCCGGGCGGGTAGGGTCTCGCCTGCGTCTCGAAATTCTCGGCGTCGACGTTCCAGAAGCGGAAGAGGATTTTGACGCACGAATCCATGTCGTTTTCGCGAGCGTAGGCCGTCATCATGTGGCACATGAAGGCCTCGTCGACAACCAGGCCGCGCGATAGCAGCGATTGAAAGGCCTCCTCGGCCTCGACGACATAGACTCCGGGCGCCGGGGCGAAGGGGTGTTTGCCTTTTCGGCGCAGGGAGGTGTTGATGGGGGCGGTTCGGAAGGCGCCCGAGGCATCCCCCAAGTCAGGGTCGCGCGGGCGGCGGTCCCACACGAGGCAGTGCAGGTAGGCGGTTATGCAGTCGGCGTCGGGCTGGAGGCCGTCCTGTCGCATGGCGAGCAGCAGCGACCTGGCCAGGTCCGAGTTGGCGACGCCGGTGGCGGCGTGCATCAGGTGGCGGTAGTCGAGCATGCCCAGAGGCATGCCGGCGCGTCGGCGAATGTCGACGAGGCTCGCGACGAGGTCGGAGAAGCGGGCGTAGACGTGCCAGCGCGAGGGCAAAGTGCCATAGTGTCGGCCACGGATCCACCAGTTGTGAGCGAGGGCCTGCTCCCAATCGGCGAGCATGCGCCCTGGCCGCAGCAGACCGAGGACGGCGGTGAAGGTCGAAGGGGCAATGGAGCGGATGAAGTGGGCGTCGAGGGCGCCTTGGCCCAGGCAGCGGAGGATGTCGTCGATCTCCTTGGAGCGCAGGGCGGTGGGGAGGCGGCGCACGTAGTCGAAGCCGTCATTTTTGACGACGTTGGCGTTGGAGGGTCGCTGGCCTCGAATCCAGGCGGCCCTGGCGGCGTAGGGCAGGACGCCTCGGACGGCGACGATGGTCATGGTGGTGGAGAGGGTGGGAGCGCTAGGGGCAGCTACGGGAGCGAGCCGGCGACGGTGCGGAGACGGCGCCCATCGCTCCCTTCGCTTCTGGCTTGGCGCTGGCTTGGCACGCGCAACCCGTTCGGCGGCAGCGCCACACGCTCGTCGACTGCGCCGCCCGTCAGCCACGCCCCGACGCGCTCCACGTGCTCGACCGTCCAGGGAACCGCGTCTCCCGCCGACGCCGCGCGCGCCCCCTCGGACAGGCCCGCCAGCGCCTCCAGCACTTCTCCTCCGTCGCCCGCCTCGCCGCCCCACAGCCTCAGCGCCTTGTGCGCCAGGATGAGCCCCACGTCCAGGTACATGGCTCCCAGCGGCCGGCACCCGCGCGCCCACGGCCACGAGTCCCGCAGCAGCCGCGCCCGTCCCACGCACGCCAAAGCCAGCGACGCGTCGTGCTGTTGCGGCGCCAGCCCCGCCGCGATGCCGTCCACCGCTATCGACATGGCCCAAAAGAACCAGAGCGAGAAGGCGATGCCCGCGTTGGCGAAGGCGAGCCGGTCGGGCCCCGCGCGCCACATGAGGGCCGGGTCGGCCTGCGCCGCCTCGACGAAGGGCCCCGCCATGGCCAACATGCCTTTCAGCGAGGCGGCGCGCGCGAGGAGCTCCTTGGCCGTCGACTCGTCGTGCCGAGCGGCGTGGTACGCCCGGGCGTCCCGCGCCAGCGCCGGCAGGTACGACATGGCGCGCGCGATGCGGTTCAGGCTGAGGCGCGGCTCGACGAGGCCGGTCGTGTCAAAGGCCACGGCGTGCCATTCGGGCTCGGTCAGGATGTTGTCGCGACCGGAGAAGAGGGCGTCGAGGGCCTGTGGCGGGCGTCAGCGGCCGCCGAGGAGAGGGGCTGACGGCGGGGGACAACTCACGATGCCGACGGTGACGGCGCGCAGGATCGCACGCTCGACCGAGTGGGCGTCTTGGAAGGCGGCGGGCCCGCGCAGCCTCAGCATCTGGGCGGCGCCGCCAAGATGGGCGATGAAGGTGCGGTTGGTGCCACAGGTGCCGACGGCCTGGGCGGTCGTCAGCTTATTTCGAGGTAAGTGCCTGAGTATGTACGTACGTATGCTTCGGTCATGGCCATCAGCGCCGCGGCGCACAGGGTGAGGGTGGAGCGGCCCTCGTCCGGGTGGGCGACGGCGGCGCGCAGGCTCGCCAGCGCCGTTCCGTACAGCGTGGGATCCGTCTGGCCAACGCGGCCGCGCCTCGTGACGGCGTGCATGTCGGCCAGGCAATTGGCTGCGCTGTCCAAGGCTGCAGCGGCGCCCAACATGCGCGGCACCTCGCCGATGAAGGGCCCGAACATGCGAAGCTGGCTCGCAGGCTCCTCGCGCTCCTTCATCAACGTCTCCACCAGGTGCCTCGCCAGCCGGTCCGCGAGCGACGGCGACATTGCCGCGGGTAGGCCGACGCACGCTCGTCGGCAAAAGGCGTCCTGGCCCCGCACGAGCTCCACGCCGCTGCAGGGCCTGTCGGAGGCGGCGGCGGCTTGTCGACGGGCGCGCTGCTTGGGGCCTTCGTCGACGAATTTGGCGTAGCGCAGCGACGGGCCCGGACAGTCGCGGCGGCCTTGCTGGCAATTGCGGCAGGCGGGCCACGTGCGATCGCACTGCGAGGGCGAAAGGGTGTGAGCAGTCAGGGCATGGGTATTGTTGATGGATACAATCACTCACTCCGATCTTACGGCGTTTGCACGGCGCGCAGCCGTCGCTTTTGGGCACACCAACCATGATGGACGATGCGAGCTGAGCTGCTGAGAAAGCGGCGGCGACGCATTATATCGCGGCAGGCATCGGTGCGACGAGGCCGCCTCTCGTAGGGCTCATCTTGACCGACACGCAGGGGATGCAAGGAAAGTCGCTCCTTCGAGACATGTCCGCATCGGCCCGAGCGACGATTTCCCCCAGAGAGCCACCAAGGCGATCCCCCAGCTCCTGCACATGACCCCACCCGGCTGACATGGGGCCACGCGCTACTCGTCTCCTCCCTCGTCATCGAGAGGGGAAGCCGCCCATAAAGTCTCGGCCGGACCCCCCCCCTGCCTGCGCAACCATCGCCAAAAGACAAACCAATCCATCCCAATCGTCACCATGCGCTTCCACACCGCGACACTGCTGTGCCTCATCTCGGCCGTCTTGGCCCGCCCCGTGCCCGCCGACATCAAAGGCGTCAGGTCGCCGACGTCGTACTCTCAGGATCTGCTGAGCCCGGTGCTGTGCCCGCCGACGGGAACGGGGACTTGCGCGAGGCAATGCGGCGCCATCGTAGCCGGCATGGGCGGGAGGTGCGACAGCGACGGGTGAGTGGCGTCGAGACGGAGTGGAGCTACGCGAGCCAAGGCTGACGGCGCATGACAGGAACTGCTTGTGCGCGGACGGAGAAGGGCCGCTGAGATGAGAGACGGGACCATTTGCGAACCACAGCTACTACATTCGTTATGATACCACCCCGAGAGGCCGACGCATCGAGCCCGGGGACCCGCCAGGACGCAGGGGAGGCGGGTAAGGGGCAGGACAGGGCGGGACGAGGCGGGGCTCCCTCAAGGCTGAGGCGAGGCAGCCTCGTCAGGGGAGAAGCCAGGGGGCGGCGGGAGGCAAACAATGCTCGCCCGGCACGCAATGATAACAATGGACACGAGAGTCGTCGTCGTCGAGAATGGAAATGGGCGGAACGTGACGTGTGTGTCTTAGTCAGCGCGCGCCGGGCCAGAAATTTGTCGGCGTCATCGCCCGCTGGCCAGATCGTGACTTCCGCAAACCCAACCCGCACCTTCTTCCCATGCGACTCCTTCTCCTTCGCGTCCGCGCCCGCGCCCTGCCGACGCGTCTCCTCGCGCCAACGCCTGCGTCCTCCCGCTCCCTCCGCTCCCACCGCTCCCGCCGCCTCCAGCGCCCGCCCATCGAAGTCGCCGGACACTCGCGCCCCACCGAGCCACCGCCTCCCCGCCAAGATGCCTCCTCCTCCCACCCCGACCCCCTGGGCCTGCTGAACCCCGAGCCCGCCGAGCCCGTCGTGCGCTTCTACGAGCAGGACGTCACCCGCTTCGCCGCCGACGAGGTGCCGCGCCGAGTGAGCGCCACGCGCGTCAACGCCGACGAGGACCGCGCGCGGGAGCTGATGGCCAAGATCCGGCGCCTCGAGTCCGAGATCGAGCTGCTGGAGAATGACACGGGCGACGTCGAGGACCCGGTGCTGATGCGCCTGCGCGCCGTGGCCAACGACGAGCTGGACCCGGACATCGACACGCTGGCCGAGGCGGACCCGGAGAGCGTGCGTCGCGAGCTCGACGGCTTGATGGTCAAGCTGCCGCCGTCCGGGGCCGCGCCCACCGACCAAACCAGCCTCGCCCGCCTGAACAACTGCCTGCGTCACGCCTACCTCGCCACCGACCCGGCCCGCCGCCCCACCATCCGCCAGGAGCTCTGGAAGGCCTACCGCCGCGCCAAGCTGCGCGTCCCGGGCCTGCTGCCCGCCATCCCCACCCCCACCTGGGACATACTGTTTTACAGCCAGGCCGTGCGCTGGCGCAGCAACAAGCAGCGCGACCAGCACGTCTCTGAGCTGCTGGAGGACATGAAGAGCGTCGGCATGGACGGCCCGCCGACCCCGCCGCCCGAGGGGAACGACCCAGCCGGTGGAGATGGCGGAGCCAAGGACGATTGAGGCTGCGGTGCATCGAACGCACGGATGAGAGGTCCTCGCCGCTTGGCCAACGCAGAGCCGGCCACGAGACTGCTTCGTCGAGCATCCCACCCGCCGAACCACCGCTCCGTCGCGTACGTCCTGTAGCATGCACCATCGCTCACACAAGAAGAGAGAATTGAGAGCAGTGGGGTTGGAAAGCGGCGCAACAGAACCCCTCTTGCTCAGGACCACGCCGCAGGAAGCCTGCGCCGCAACCGGCGAAGACAGCGAAGGGAGGGGAAAACGAGGGAGAATTCTTCGCAGGCCTTCTGCGCGCGAGAAAAGACTACCCTGCCGGCGACACGAAGCCATCCGCTTCCGGATTCCTGGCCACGCTCGACGGCGTGATTGCGCTGGCCATGGTGAGCGAGCTAGGGGGATACGTCCCAAGAAGATGGCACTCCTGATTGCTTCGGCATGATTCGACGGAACGCTGTGTGCACACTATCTGTATAAACATTGTGGATGACTGTAGAAAACTTGTATGATATGCATGTAGACGAGGAAAGGAAAAGTTTTAGAGACCACACATTGCAAACACCCTTCGCGTGCATGATTGAGCAAAGAAAGGAATCGTAGACTACTCATAGCTGGCCGAACAAATCCAACTCAATTCCATGCCATCAGTTATGTCGCTATTTCTTCAGGTTGTTATATTTTTTGCTTCAAAAGTCCAGTTTCATTTCCAGCGGTCCCAAATACTTCACCACTCCGCAAGATACCAAACCTTCGCAGATATAGGACTCACTCGCTATACCCATGAATGTTATTTCCACCGTCCCCTCGCGAAATGCTTTCGCGTCTTGCGTAGATTATACTTTCGAAGGTATAGAACTCTTTCCCTCCCCTCTTATTTACGTGATGCATTCAACAGCTTATGAGGTTTTTGTTTTAACTTCCTTGGGAGTGCTTTATAGGTACATGAATTTTATACTTACAGGTGGCTAGCCGAATACTTCCCCACCTCACAATATTTCAAATATTCGTAGATATACGACTCACTTCGTGCACCCATACGTATTATTTCTATCGTCTCATCGCGAGGTACTTTAGCACCTTGTATATATTATGTTTTCGAAGGTATAAGAAATCCTTCCTCCGTCCTCATTACGCGATGCATTCAATACCTCATTAGGATTTTGTTTATAGCTTCCTTGAGAGCACTTCACGTGTTTATGAATTTTATGTTCACATGTGGCTAGGAATCCTTCATGCATCTATCGGGGATTTATTCTGAAGATGACTTTTTTTCTTTCCGTCACTTTTATTTCCATCATCCCTCCCCATATTCTCGTTTCTATAGCATTACTAAGAACACCACACGCCTGTACATCGCGTGACGCAATATCCATTGAGTACTTGCACCCAGGTAAAGTTGCTTATGGTATGATGACCGATCATGCAAAGAGCACTGCATTAAATATACCGTGCCTATTCATTATCCATGCTAACCCACCAAATGACCGACCACCGAAAGCGACGCAACGCAACGCCCCGAGACCTACACCACAAGGAGCGGATATCGCGCCGTCCAATTCCCCCCATAGACGCAACACACGCCCCAAAAATTGACAAAGAAGGAAAGTACATGTAATCTGAAACTAGACACAAGAAAGCATCGTCCCGCCATCTCCCCAACTCTCCACCTACTCGACGCCGCCCCAAACGCCGCCCCAGCCCCACCACCACACCCACGGCCCCATGTCCCAGGCGCACCACACGCGGTCTTCCCACTCGAACGCTCGGCGCGCCGCCTCGAGGGCGCTGTGCCTCAGGTCCTTGAGTGCCGGGCCGAAGGCCCGAGGGCCGAACACGAGGGAGAAGAGAGACAGCAGGGGAAGAAGGAACAGAGTGAGGAGGGTGTGGGGGAGATGGTGCGTCCCTGGCGGCGGAGCCGAGGAGGCCGCGGGGGACGAGGAGGGCGGCACGACAGAGAGAGGGGCGAGGTGCACGACCGAAGGCAGCTGTCGCGTGGGGGTAGCTGCGGGCGTCGAGTGGTAGGTGCGGGGAGAGGGGCGCGGCGTCGCGATGTTGAAGCTGCCGTCATGATTGGCGTGCTGCTGGTAGTGCTGCTTCTCCGACCGAGGAGGCGACGGCGAGCAGGGGCTGCCTGGCGGCGTCGGGAGCGCGCCCACGGCGGCGACGGATCTCGGGCGTGGTTCTGTGGGCGTACGAGGGCGCGCAGTGGATGCAATGACGGCTTGCGCAGTCAAGGGCGGGGCAGGCAACGCAGCAGGGGCGGACGCGTCACGCTCGGCAGCCGAGAGATAGAGGGCGGCAAGACGAGCAGCGGCGGCAGAGTCGCGGGGGAAGCATGGCGGAGGCACGGCGGCGCAGGCGAGCGGACGGAAGCGCGTCGTGGTGCCCGTGGAAGCAGGGGCTGTGGCGACGGCGAAGTTGAGGCTGAGGTGGGTGGAAGGGGCGGTGGGGAGGGCGGCGGCGGATGCGCGCGTGAAGGCCAGCAGGGACGAGTGCAGCGGAGAGGCCGACGGCAAGATGGCGGCCGAAGAGGCGGAGCCGGCGGGAGTCGAGGCGCGAGCCGACGAAGGCGTCTGCGGCCCGTCGTCGGGCGGCCTCGACACGACAAACGTCGCAACGGCGCCACGCAGAACGAGGGCGTGGGCCGTGTAGCGCTCGCCGTCGACGGCCTGGCGCAGCCTCCACGGCTGCTCCCTCGAGATGCTGAGGCTGGCCACCTGCTCGTACGTCTCGTTCATCGACGGGCGCGGCAGCCACACGACCTCGTCGCGCGCCTCGTCGCCCTCGCTGTCCTCGCTCTGATCGGGGAAGGGCAGCAGCCCGTTCCTCGCAACCGTCGCCGCCGTGCTCTCCGGCTCCAGCCGCACCGCCGCGAACTGTTGCTTCCACGCGCCCCCGCTCAGGATGCGATGCACCTCGTTCCGGGACCGCACCACGTACGCGTCGGGAGCTCGTGCCTCCGTCCCCAGACTAGCCACAAAGTCCGCAAACGCCGCCTCATCTCGCATCAGACGCGCGACGCTCCTGTCTGGGGCAAGCACCGCGCAGCGCACCCGGGGTCTCGGCCTCGCAGCCTCGGCGTCCAACGTCTCCTTGAGCAGGGCCGCATCGCGCGCTTCGACGGGAATCCACAGCGTAGGCCTCTCGTGGAGAATGAGGGAAAGCACGATGCGGAGCTCGTCGTTGGGGCGACGCTCAGGGCCTGGCGTGTCCAGCCGGCGGAACTTGGACACGGCTCGCGAGAGGCGCAAGGGAGACGTGTAGGCCACCGGCTCTGGCGATGCCACTATGACCTTGTGGCCGGCAGTGTAAAGGACGCGGGCGAGGCCGAGGGCGGTCGATGCCGACGACGGAGCGGCCGTGATCAGGATCGTCTGCCAATCTGCGGGTGATCGTACCGGGCGTCGGCTGGAGAAGCAGGCATTGTATACCCGCAGAAGGACCAGAAGATACAGCGTTACGGGCAGGAGGAGGACGGAAACTGCGCGCAGAGCGGCCGACGAGAGCTGCGCGGGTGCCATGGCGACGAAGAAAGATGAGAGAGTGAGCGAAGCGGACGGGCGTGGCACAAAAGGCGGAGGTGGTGCGAGCAGACGCGCGCGCTGCTCCCGGCCACCATGTCGCGCGCGTTGTCACGGCGGCAGCCATTGAGGTCAGCGAACCGATAAGCTTAACCTGCCAGTGCAGATGCGGAGGCGGCGTCGATTCGACGACGTCGCGCCAGCGGGGCTGCGCAGGGCGTCGTGTCGGCTTCCTTGGCGCATCCGCGACCGGCATCTGCCTTCCACGTGGCTTGCGCCCAACCGCACACGACCTGTACATCCTTCCTCTACTATATCCCACAAGGGCTCCCCACAGGACCCACAGGACTTTTACATCCAAACCTGGTCCCCCACCTCTCTCAGTCGCAGCTCATCTGTGTCAATCCCGTGGCTTCCGGGAGCGCAATGTACCCGCACCACCCCTCTTCCGAGTCGCTCGCGTCCGAGTCCATGAAGCTGTCGACCCTCTTCGCTCCCGACCTCGACGCTTTGTCCTCACCCGCCGAAGCCTTCGTCCCCGCAACCTGCGACACCGTACCACCGCGGGGGCCATATAGCGTCACCGGGACACTCGAGCTTTGCTCAGCGCTGGATGCTGGCTGCGAGAGTCCCAGTGCGTAGCGCTGAGAAAGTTGATCGTAATAGTAATCGTACTCGGAGATGTTCTGCCAGTCTTTCAACAAGTCGGGGTTGGCTCTGCCGATGACGTTCGGCTTGCTATCTAAGATCCATTCGAGGCTTGGCATTTGCTCGGGCGGGACATGGTCTGGCCTCATCTGAGGGTGTGCTGCATTTGATTCTAAAAGATGCAACAGCTCGCCGGAGACGCGATCATCGACAATGCGACTGTTGCCAGACCCAAGCCTGACCGAGGGATCGATGAGGTTGCCAAAAGCGCGGCAGGTATGTTCGCGGATCTTGTAACGAAAACAGCCGCCATGTTCAACAGCAGCGCAATTGGCGTCGTAGCCAAGGTCGGTGTCGGTAAAAGTGGACGTCGCGTCGTCGAGAATGTCGGCACACGCGCCGAAAGAACAACGCAGGAGCAGGGGACGGCCAGAGCGGTGGTTCGACACGTCGCCGATCATGCAGTTCAACCGGCGCAGGGACAACAGCTGATCGTCATCGTGCGCGCCGGTCATGCAAGGGAGCTTCTCCGTTGTAAGGTCGTCGAGGATGATAAAGTACTTGGTCGACAAGTCGGCGGCGGCGCAGCTTCGACGCATGAAGAAGATCAGGGCTGGGGCCATGAAGTTCTTGAAGGATTCCGTCACTGGCGGCGCCGGCGGGTCGTCGACGAGCGTGTATTCGCTATCAGCGTCGAGGCCGATGTGGATGATCTGCGCGCGGACCCGATGGTTCGGGTCGTGGGGGCTAAGATTCACGGCATCCAGGTGGAGGGAGCGCATCAGTGGGCCAATCGAAGATAGCAGAGAGGAGCAGCATGACACACCTCTGAGGGTAGATTGGCGGTGACGAAGACAGGGCAAGGCCTCACGGTGCCTTCGTCGCGCTTGCGCCAGACGCGCGGCATGCTGCGTTGGACGAGGGGAAGCGGAAGCTCGCGCGGCCCAACGGTCCTCCTACGATCCTGAGCGGGCAGAATGCCACCGTGGATTGCGGCGCGGCTCTGCATGGAGCTCAATGACACCTTGCAGCCCCACAACTGCAAGGCCATGTCGATTACGTTGTTGAACTCGCAGCGCACCTCGCCGTACGCATTGGGGTTGCCCCAGCCATTCTTCCGCAGCAGGCAGCTCCGCTTGTCCTGCTGCGTTTGCTCGTCCAGCTCGATGGAGACGGTGAAGAGCGACGCAGGCGACGAGACGAGGTCGTTCTCGTAGAGGAAGTGGAGGCCGCCTTTCCGAAGGACGGCGGGATCTTTGGGGTAATAGTTCCTGGTCTCGTAGCTGCGGGCAAGGCAGAGGCGGAAGTCGTAGCCGCAAAATGGGCGGTGGTTGGCGACAAGAAAGAAGTGGTTCAGGAGTCGGGCGGCAGAGGACGGGAGAGGAAACGGACCCAATGAGCGATGGGGTGGGTGCAGTAGACGAAGATGAGGCGGGCGCGGTCGTCGGACGCGGCCCATTCGAGGCCGAAGGGCAGCGACGACGCCATGACGGCGATGGGAAGGCGCGATGGATGGAATGGATGATGGCACGATGGGGAAGGAACGCGGGCGGGACGCGCGATACGCGCGCGCGGACGCGGCTTTCGGCTCATGGCGCGCCGGGCCGGAATCCGCCGACGCCGACGCTGGACGGGCGCAACGGACAAGGACCCCACTTCTTCCCGCCGTCCGTTCGCTGGTTGATGCTCGTTCGCTCGCTCATGCCCGTCTCGCTTCTCGCGTTCGCCCGCGACCCTCTCTGACTCTCCCTTTCCTCGGGTCCGCGCCCTGACTCGTACCCATCTCACGCTTCTTCTCCGTCATGTTCTCCACCGCACACCAGCCAGGGCCCCCCGCACACTCTTCGTCCCTATTTCAACGCCATCTTGATTTCCGCGCCGCGCTCGTGGGCCTAAGCAATGTCCTTAAATCCTCCCGCCGCCGCCATGTCCACCGCCCGCGCTCCCCGCATCCACCAAGTCTACGTCGAAATCGACCCCGGTCACGACGACGACGACATGTACAGCTACGAAACCTGGTTGAGCTCCACCGCCGAGCGATACCGCGTCGAAAACGGCCGCCGCTTCCACGCCTACCGCGACGGCGTCTACAACTTTCCCAACGACGACCGCGAGCAGGACCGCCTCGACATGGTCCATCAGATGTCGTCGCTGGCCATCGGCGACGCCCTCTTCTGCGCTCCCATGAAGAAAGATCCAAAACGCATCCTCGACATTGGCACTGGGTAAGTCTGCCCTTCCGCCCATCCCAACTCACGTACGGCGCTCCTCTTTCCGCTACGCGTTGTACCACCCATTCCAACACCTGACTCCCAGCACCGGTATCTGGGCCATCGAGGCCGCCGACCGCTACCCCGAAGCCGAGGTCATCGGCAACGACCTGTCGCCCATCCAGCCGCGCTGGGTTCCGCCCAATGTGCACTTCGAAGTCGATGATGTCGAGTCCGAATGGCCCGAACGCCCGCCCTTTGACTTCATCCACGCGCGCTACCTCGCCGGCAGCATCGCCGACTGGCCGCTCCTGATGCAGCGTTGCTACGAAGCCGTCGCCCCCGGCGGCTGGGTCGAGTTCGGCGACTACGAAATGAGGTACGTCTCCGACGACGGCACCCTCACCCCCGACAACCACATGAAGCGCCTAGCCGAGTTGCTCAACGAAGGCTGCGACGCCATCGGCCGCACCTGCAGCCCGGGCCCGAAGCTGGAGCACTGGATGCGTGACGCTGGCTTTGTGGACATCGGCGTCAAGGTGTGCAAACTGCCCATGGGGCACTGGGCCAAGGATCCCGACTACAAGGCCATCGGCTTCTTCAACCTCATGCAGACGACGGACGGCCTCGAGGCCTTCGTGCTGGGCATCTTCACTCGTGTCCTCGGCTGGAAGCCCTTTGAGGTCCAGGTCTTCCTGGCCAAAGCACGAGCGGACCTCAAGCGGAAGGACGTGCACATGTACCTGCACTACTGGAAAGTGTGGGGGCGGCGACCCGAGATGGACAAGGCGCGGAACGAAGAAAAGCCCCTGAAGATAGTAGATCTATGTCTTTAACCCGTGTGAGACTTGCGTGCTACGGTCCAGTCCCCAACCACTCCCGGACGATGGCCTCCAATGGTCCCTTGAACCACTCCTCGTCGGCACCCACGCTGTTGTCGAAGCCGTGCTCGCCTGGACGCATGACCAGCTCGACGCGAGCCTCGGGCTGCCACCGGCGCCACGCTTCAACAAAGAGCCGGCTACCGCTAGATGGCATGATCGAGTCATCCGACCCGTGGGTGACGAGTAGCGGAGGCAGGCGCGCGCCCGCGCGGCTAACGTCCTCGAGTCGGTCAAAGGGGTACAGCTCGCGCTCGGGGCCGAGCAGCTCGCCGAAGCGAGCATGCTGGAACACGGCGATCATGAGGTCCATGCGGTCCGGGATATCGGCAGAGGCCAGGACGACGCCGGGCTTGCTGCGCGCCGCCTCGATGTACTCCTCCACCAGCTCCTCGTCCAGCATCGGCAGCCCCAGGATGTTCTTCTCGCAGCGGCGGGTGAAGTGGTCACTGCGAAGGTCAACCATGGGGTACGCGGTGATGAGGGCGCGGATGCCCGGCGCGCCCATGAACGCCGCCTGCAGGGCGAGCATGCCGCCCGCGCTATCCCCCATAGCGAGCACACGGTCAATGTCCACGGGCAGATCCGGCACCGCGGCCTGCAGGCCCTGCGGGCTGCGCAGCCAGGCCCAGAAGTCAGCGACGTCAGCCAAGACGTCGGCACCGCGGGCTTCGGGTAGGAGACGGTAGTCGGGCGTAACGAGGACGGCACCCTGCGCGCGCGCGAGCTCGAGGATCCACGGCGCGAAGGAGCCGGGGTGCAGGCGCGCGCCAGTTATGAGACCGCCGCCGTGGAAGCGCGCGATTACGGGACGGGCTGGAGCGTTGGTGTCCCGAGGCAGATCGGAAGGGACGAACACCGTCAGGTCGATGGGATGGCCATTGACATGTTTGTAGGTGCAGTGGTGCTGCGTGAAGCCGGCGAAGTAGATGGCGGGGTCTCGCCGGGGAAAGGCCATTGCGGTGGGTCGGGTGGAGAGCCGAAGGAAGGAATCGAGGAAGAAGGCCAGAGGTATGTCGACGCCAAGAGGTGCGTGAAGAGAAGAGAGGTGAAAGAAAAAGAAAAAGAAAAGGCCGAAGAGGCAGTCGTAGATGCCGGTACTGTAGGTAGGAAGAAACGCAAAAAGACGACAAGGCCAAGCGGGCGTTGGGGCCACGAGCTGATCTCCCGAGAGCGCGAGTCACGGCATTTGCCCGATTTGTCCGGATCGCCGCAGGCGTGGAACTCCGTCGAATCCCGACGCATCGGCCTGGTGGGGTTCGTCGCGTGGTGTTTGGTGGATGGATAATGGTGTTTTTTTTTTTTTTTTTTTTTTTTTTTCTCTATTCCTAACGTCCGTCACCGCGAATCGAGATCCACCGTCTAGCGAGACAGGACATAATATAATCAGTCCCTACAGAGTACTCCTTGCCAAGCTCCCAGCCCGAGTCCTAGGTATAGGTGAAAAGGTCTTAGAGCACACATAGACTCAACATATCTTAACTAGGTATCTTCTTCTACTCCATACAATTATCACCATCTCGCTTCACGGTACATCTCGCTTCACGGTGACGGACGTTACATACCATCACGTCCATCCTCGAAGTAAGTGCCTAGCAAATATCCTGCAAGGGCTCCTAGGTCTGTGGTCCTGTCCGAGTAACCCCGGTCAAATAACTCCGTGTGCTTTTATGGTACTGTACATGCTTCTTTCTGACGACCTCGCACTTAATTCCTCCGGCCATGGTGGGTGCCCTCTAACACAGTGCCGCAATGACTATTCTGCACCACAGGTTCTCAAAATTTTTTCTCTCATAACTCAAATCCCCTACTGTTCGTGCGCGGGACTTCGCCCTGCCATCCAGGTTATCGAACACGTCTCCCATCGCAACGCCCTTCTCGTTCGAGAACAAGATCAGACATGTACCGGAATTTTCACGGGCGCAGACGGTCGTTATAGGCGGCTGCGTCAGGTACATTGCTCTGAGGGTGTCGCGGTCCTCGCCGTCCTGCCTCAGCAGCTCGTGTGTTTCGGGCCGCAGCCGCACCTCTCTGCACTCCCAGTTCCACGTTCTGAGCGGGTCATCATCCGTTAGCTCATCCAGCGGGGTGTAGCATGGGTGCCAGTCGCCGCTCGTGAACAGCGGGTTGAACTCGATCCTGGAGACTTTCGGTATCCAGAAGCTCGGCTGTGGCGCCGTGGGCTGCGGCCGCTCGTCGCATGCCCACACTGTTATGCCTGCGAAGTGTGATTGGACCTTATGCAGATCGTTGTGGTCTTCAACTTGGGCGAGGCGCGCGTGCGCAGACGGTCCACCATACATGCGGAAGACGCTGGCCATCCGGTTGTACCTGCTATAGAGGTAGTAGGAGACGGGTTAGAGGAGGCTGAGGGTGCCGGCTGGGTCTGGAGTCAAGAAGAGCCGGCGTTGAGAAGCCGTGTCGTGGGCGATGAGGTCGCGAAGTTTGCTGCATGCGTGACTGGCTTGCCAGAGGGTTTCGGTGTCGGCGAAAGAGAGTATGTGGAAGGCGAGCTCGGTGATGTTGATGACGATGAAGGAGGCAGGAGGAGAAGACTCATTCTTCTTGACCTCATCCGGATCGTCGTCGTTTGCGGCCGCCGAGGCCTTTCTCTTGTTGCGTGGCATTGTTGACGTGGTTGAGAGAGCTTGTTGGTTGAGAGTGGAGTTCAAGTATTCTCACAGACGCAAGTCAAAACGGCAGGTGCGGCTGTGTCGAAGCTGCACTTTCCCACATCGACAACGGCTCGCTCAACTGACAACTTCACACTCGGCATAGCTGCACCTGTCTAAAGTCGTGTTGAAAGGTACTTGCACAACAAGAGATTTGGACGCAACTGCTCCCAACTCATTATTGTCTATGCGCTAAGATATACAGAAAATAACAATCCTTGACTGTCAACGAACTCACCCGACCCGACATACAATCATTTCCACGGAAAACCCTTCTTAGGCCATCGCTGCCATGACGGCTCGACTATCGCTAAATCCTCCGCCCAGACGCAGTGGTCCCCGCATGACCCCCTCAATAAAGAAAGAAAGACAAGAAGGAAAGAAGGAAAGAAAGACAGAAGGAAATCGGTATCTAAAACAAATGAGACCTAGAATGAGACTAACAATAGTCTGTAGAGATTATCAGGGCAAGGCGCTCTTTACAAGATATACTTGCTTGTTCGCTTGTCTCCGGCCATGTACGCCTGCACACCCGCCACCCTTTCAACCATGCTTGACACCTCCCTCGGAACACTACGGCTTCTCTTCTTCACTCGTGCTTTCATTGCTATCCTGCCGCAGGAAGTACGCTGGATGGACAAGATTGAAGACGGCGACAGCAATCACCATCATCGCGCCATCGAGGGAGACAAAGTAGCCCTCATGGGTGATCAAGTAGCCGTCCCAGCCCTGGGCCAGCTCGATGGTACGATAAACGCTCCGAATGTAGATGACGAAAATGGACAGAGTGGTGGCAGCGATCAAGACCTTGATGCGCAAGGACAGTGTGCGCCTCCGCACGCGCCATAGGAACAGCACGAAGAAGCAGCAAAACAGCGTGATCGACGCCATTTGGAACACAATACCTGCGACCATGATGTTCGTGCCGGGCTTGGTGTCCTTCGGAGGGTCTGATTGAGAGGCGATCGAGGCCATCGCACCGCCTACCGCTTGCACGACAAGCGATACCACGTCGCAGGTGACGAAGATGATGAGGTACATCTTCTCGGAGATAGGGCTAGACGACCGGCCCATGATGCCGATGAGCCGCCCGAGGATGACGTAGATCCCGGCGGTGAAGAACGTAGGCGCTGACTCGCCGTTAGCTTAGGGGCGATTTGCTAAAGAATGCTTCAGGGTTGTCCATACCGATGATGAGAGTTGTAATTTGCATCAAAAACGCATCTCCGCTGTAGGCACATTGCGAAGACCATTCTCGCCCTGCCCACCCTATCACTTCGGCTGTAGGAAGGATATTAGTATTGTGAAGTTTTTGCGAAGTTTGGATTACCTACTCAAGGCGCCTATGGAGAAGACAAGAGTCCACCAGGAGCGGGTGCGAACGGTCTGGTAGGTATGCGCGAGCATAGACACACCGAAGAGGGCGAGGAAGACGGCACCGGCCGCTTCAGACGGTACGTATCCATAGTTGGTGTCGATGCCTTCGATGTAGGCATGACAATCTGGGACGTCCGATGCGGTCCTGGGGGTAGTGTCGTTCATTTCGCGGTTTACGTGAAAGCGGTTAGAGGTGCCAAAGGTTTTATGTTAGGACGCCAGTGCTTATAAAAGCGAGGGCATAGTCGTGGCTCTTGTTGACCGGAGCTTACGGTGCAAGGATGTGTAGCTGACGAATCAAGCAGCACAAACAGACTGCACGCCTACGTACAGGCCCAGCGCCTTCTCGTGTATGCGTCCGTGAAAGGAAATGTTTTCGCGAAAGATAGGCTCACATATTTAGAATTGTCGCCAAGCCTCAGCGCGAGTTGGCGTAAGGGTTGATGACAACGTTCCGAAGGTTCCGCGCTGCTGACGTGCGCGGCCAGCGGACCAACGCATGACGCCGCCGGATGCCGGAACCTTCGTAGAACAGCTTCCGTCGGTGGAATACACATGCCGCTGTGGGGACTGTGGAGTTTGTAAGGCGTTTTTATTCGTTGACGCCAATCGTGCGGCTTGTGTAGGGCTGAGGCGTGCGCGCGCGCGCAGGGCTGTGCTCAGCTCTAAGCCTCCCTCCTAGTCATCTATATAGAAACGGGTTTCTTAACTTGATTCTTTTGGCATTGATAGGCACGGATATGGTTGTAGCCGAAGAAAAATCCTGGCACGAGGTTTTCAATTTACTCAGTGAACAAATAAATGGGATTCTAGAAACACCGAGCAGCGATCTTCTAAAAAATCAACAAACATTAGGTCTAAAGCCCTCGAAATTTCCAGGCTTGATCCATCGAACCTAGTCGTACCTCCCTGCAGCATTCATTATGTCAGAACAGCACCTTCATGTCGTTCAAAGAAAGCCATTCAAAACCCCCAACACGATCACATGGGAATTTCAAAGCCCCATTTTTCACACAAACAGTAGCTGACACTCCTTTCAAACCCGTAAGTCAAACAAGTAATCCTTGGCTGCAGAATCCGAGCAACATATGCGCCATCACAGCAGCACTGACCGGCGGAGCTGAAACATAAGCTAGGCTGACATAGGGCTGGCGGCGGCAAAGGGCGGAACGGTCCACTTCGATCCCACGTGCGGGCTGGTCCGTATGGATCGATTCTGACGATTCATTCACGTCTTGCTAGGGGGTTGGATGGGTTTCTGTGGGTTTGAATGGGCCGTGTTTCGATGTCTTGGCATATGAGGTGTTGAGGCGGCTAACTAATCTGACGCCCGCCAATCAATCTACGCTGGTGTGCATTCCCGTTGGATCTCGTGATTTTGGGGTTGTGGTTGGAATTTCTACTAAATTTACCACGGAAAAGAATGGTTAGATACAGTCGCTGGAACAAAGAAACAAAGTGTAGCAATTCTTTATTACTGACTACAGTCATTCGTGTTTGCGTTTGTTCACCTGTAACTTGCCTGCAGGCGTGTTTGCCATTAGACTCTGGTATGTAAAGACATCTAGGAACCAATGCAAACAACTCGCCACCGCATCAATCTATGGCTCTCTTGCAAAATATATAACTTCAGACACGTGATTGGCCCGAAATGGCCATGATTGAGCTGGGTCGAACGAAGCGCACTTCGGTCCTAAAGGATCCGTCTTCCCGACCGGATGAGCAGCTTGAATTCCGACTGGGCAGTTCTAACTCCCGCCCTCTGGTTGGCGCGCGTGATTCGGCAGACCGGATGAGATCGTACCACAGGTCGTCGAGACAGGACTCGAATGACTGGACGAGCATTGTAGAGCGGGTGATGCCTCTGGCAAAAGCGCAGACCTGAGACGGCCGTCTGTATGTAGGTGGGTACGTACGTACAGATCTATGTACGAAAGTGATTATTATCTGTCAGAAAAAGAGAAAATACTATGTATCTAGATCAGAGGACATTGAAAAAAAGAACGCCGACTCAACTATGCTCTTTTGCTTCAACAGTGTCAATGCGGTGATTTGGCTCGGCTAGGGTGGTGGTGGTAGTGGCAGCGGTGATGGGGGTGGTGGGGGTGGTAGGGGTAGGGGGGATGTCATCGCCATGCTTCTCCTCAGCGTCAACCTTCTCGACCTTCTCCGCAGTCGTCACCTCGCTCCTACCATCGGCGTCCCTGTCGCCAAACCCACCCTCCTCGTTCCCACTATCTTCTGCGTCACTCGCATCCAGGCCTTGCCGCGTCTGATGCGCTCGGTCCAGACTTACCTTCTTTATGAAAAACCCTGCCAACATCGCCGCCCCACTCAGCGCCGCAAACACAGCCCACACGATCTTCAGCGCGTCCGCATACGCCTGTATCAGCTCGCGCTTGCGCTCATCGTCTGGCATGCCGCCCAGCAGGGCAACGATGCTGGTTGCGTCTCGAGAGTACTCGGTGGCCTTGTCGGCCAGCGTCTCGGTTTTCAGCAGCTTGGCTTTCATTTGGTTCTGGAATACGCTGCCGGACATGGCGACGCCGAGGCACTGGCCGAGGCAGCGTGCGAAGATGAAAAGCCCAATGGCGATGGCCATGGCGTCATCGGAAGGCGTCGCTGCCTGGTTAATGATGGCGAGCGACGTGTACAGCAGTCCCAGGCCGAGGCCAGTCGTAAATGTCATGAAAAACCATTTCACGACCGAGGTGTCGACATCGAGCAGCGTCATGACTCCGAGTCCGACCGTGGACAAGATCCACCCGACCCAAGTGACGACGCGGAAGTCGCCCGTCTTGGAGATGACGATGCCGGCGATGATGGACATGGGGGCGACGGTGAAAGTGGCGGGGAAGAGAGCCACGCCCGACACGGTCGGGTTGTAGTCCTTTGTGGCTTCGAAGTAGAGCGGAAGGAAGTACAGCGCGCCGTAGACGATGGCGGCGTTAATAATGGCTGCGAACAGCGAATAGGCCATGTTGTAGTCACGCAGCAGGTCGAGGTGGATGATGGGTGTAGAGGGGACGAGCTTCTCGTACACGCAGAAGGCCGCCATGCCCGCCACGCCCATCAGCAGCGGCACTAACGTGTGCCACGACTCCCAGGGGAACTGGACGCCACCCCACGTTATGGGGATGAGGAAGCTCGAGGTGGCGCCGATGAAGAGCACGCTGCCGATCCAGTCGATGGAGCGCAGCTTCTCGAGCACTGAGCCCGGCGTGCGTTTCAACCGCAGGTAGATGGGGATCATGACGAGTGCGATAGCGGCAAAGGGGATGTTGATCCAGAAAAGCCAGCGCTGCAGCACAAAATGTCAGCGCAATGAGTTCACGGGCAGAGGAGGGAAGGGACGAGTTCTACCCAAGAGGCCTCATAGGCTAGCGCGCCGCCGATGACGGGTCCGGAGACACTTCCGAGTGCCCAGACACCGCCAATGATGCCAAAGTAGGTACCGCGATGGCGCATGGGTACAAGGTCAGTGATGACGATGTCATTGAGCAGGATGATGCCGCCGCCGCCCATGCCTTGGATGGTGCGGCCAAGCAGCATGGGGGTGAAGTTGTGCGAGACGCTGGAAATGATGATGCCGATGAGGAAGAGCAGAGTGCACGCCGCGAGCGTGTACATGCGGCCGAACGTCTCGGACAGCGAGCCTATGGGCAACTGGAAGACGGCGGAGCTCAGAAGGAAGCTGGTGCCGGTCCAGAAGGCCTCGGCGGCGGTGCCGTGCAAGCTCTCGGCCATGATCTGGGAGAGAGGTTAGTAGGATGGACTTGGACAATAGGGAATGACTGACGGGCAAGGCGACGGAGACGGAGGTGCCGTCGAGCGAGACCATCATGGCCAAGAGGGCGACGGGGGCCAGGGCGAGCCAGAAGTGGCGGCCGGGCTTGAAGTCGTGGCCGTCAGTGGACATGTTATTTTCTCTTGTCGAATTCGAGGCAGCAAAGGCCACGGCCTGAGGTCCAAAGATTAATAGGAAGGCGCGCAGGGCAGACGCGGGGCAACCATTTGGCCGTCGGGGCATCCTTGTCGATAAGCCCTGTCAGCCGTGTTGCTATTGCAGAAGCCCAACGTTCCTGCGCAAGACCTCCAACGCCCCTGTCAGCCTCGTCGCACCACTCGGGCGGGTGAAGTCGGAGCGTATGACTGAGATTCGAGACTCGAGAGTGCTATTTCTGCAGCCATGCCGCTCTCCTTCTCCCTAACCGAACCCACACTATCACCAACACTTTCATCATCACCATCATCATCATCATCAAATCATGGCTTCCGAATCTGTCCCCATTCCCCGCATCGCCATTGTTGGCGCCGGCCCGGCCGGCTGCACTCTCGCGCGCCTACTCCTCTTGCGCGGCGTTCTCTCAGCCTCGCAAATAGCCATCTACGAACGAGAGGCCGGCCTGCACGCGCGCGACCAGGGCGGCACCCTCGATCTTCACGAGGAGAAGGGGCTGGCCGCCCTCAAGGCCGCCGGCCTCTACGACAAGTTTCTCTCAGTCGCGCGATTCGACGGCGACGCCCTCGCCGTCTGCGACAAGCGCATGCGGCCGTACCTGCGCCTGACCAGCTCGCGCGACGGTGGCTGGTTCGCCCAGGGCAAGCCCGAAGTCGACCGTCTTGCGCTGCGCAGGCTCCTTCTCGATGCGCTGCCGCCGGGCCTCGTGCGCTGGGGCCGCGACGTGCGGCGCATCGACGAGGCCAATGGCGCCGTCTTCTTCGCCGATGGCAGCGTCGAGCAGGGTTTCGATCTCATCGTCGGCGCCGACGGCGCTTACAGTGCCGTGCGCCAAGCGCTGACGCCGCAGCAGCCCTTCTACTCGGGCGTGGGCGGCTTCAACATGGTGGTGCCCGAGGCGGCCAAGACCCGGCCGCTGTTGCACCGGCTCGTGAATGGGGGCTCGTGCTTTGCCTTTTCCGACGGCAAGGTTGTCATGGGGCAACAGCTTGGCGACGGAGCCGTGTACATTTCGGTGTGGGGCGTCAGGAGCGAGGGCTGGATGAGCGAGGCCGGCTACGATGTGCGCGATGCGAGGGCGGTTAAGGCGGCGCTGATGAGTGAGTTCAGCGACTGGGCGCCTGAGGTGCGCGAGATGCTCGCGGCGTGCGATGAGGGCGCCGTGTGGCCGCGCTCGTTGGTCATGTTGCCGGTGGGCATGAAATGGGAGAGCAAGGCGGGCGTGACGATCCTCGGCGACGCGGCTCACGTCATGACGCCGTTTGTGGGCGAAGGCGTCAACGCGGCCATGAAGGACGCCATGGAGCTGGCCGAGGCGATTGAGGAGGCTTTGGACCGCGGTGGCGGCAGGGATGCGTGGGGGGACTCGGTGCGGCGCTACGAGGAGGGCATGTTCGTTCGGGTGCATCGGGTGCAGAAGATGACCGAAGACATGATGAAGCTGATGCTCTTCACCGAGGGGGCGCCGGGGACGGTCATGGCGCAGTGGGTGGTGCGTTCAGTGAGCGACGACATGAGCGCGGTGGCAGTTGCGCTGCTGACGCCGCTGGTCTGGGCCTACTATTTTTTCTTCAAGTTGCTGCATTGAGACAAGCCATAGATAGCGTTCGCATCAATCTCACCATTACCCCACAAGGGCACGCAAGGAAGCAGATGATCCTAGTTGGGTTGTTCCACGAATAAGTGATGAACATGCTCGTGGGGTTCGTCGGCCGATGCACGTCAGAACGCGTGCATATGCAAGCGCGGAGGGAAGGCAGGACCCGTGTGCCAATGGCAAACGGCTTAGTCAGTCTTAGACGTAGGGCTGCAGGCGCTTCGGGCCAGCGACGTTAAAATAAAGTGGCCGAATTGTTGCTCGCCTGCCCTGTTGGGCAACTCTGCCCTCAGTCAGCCATGCAGGTTCGGCTAAAGGAAATTGCGCATGACAAGTCGTATGGACCAGAGGGCGCTAGGGAACGGGATCCTGCGGGAACGGGCGGGAGACGCGTGGGGGGAGGAATTGGAGGCTGGAGGGGATAGCCGCATGTTGCGCTGTTGCGGTGGGCTCGCCGGCGATGTAGGGCACCGGTGGCGTGTGGGGCAGCGGAAGAGGCGTGGAGTGAGACGGAACACGAGGTTGTTGTGAATGTTGTGGTGAGGTGGTGACGGAACGGCGCGGGCCGGCGCGAGATCATGTGACGACGCACGTGACCCGCGTGACTGGCAAACGCCGGACGCGCCTGCCATCTCTACCTTACACCATGGCGACCTGACTGCAATTCTGCATTTGACGTGCCTGCTCTGCTACGAACTGTAACCCCAAACGCAAAAAGCAAAATAACCAAAACAAACGTCATCGCTCCGCCAATCACCTCCACGGCAACCAACGCCGCCCTCAAGACGCCAAAGTCAGGCCCCGCCCAGCACCCGCATCAATGCGCTGCGCCTCAGCCACGATCTCATCAAACAGTTTCACGCCCAAGGCTTTTCCCTCAGCCGTGTCTGCAAATGGCGTGCGTCTGTTGCCACGTTAGCTACAACGTTCACGCCAACAAAAAAGAAAACACTAAACTTACTCTGCGACTCTTCCATCCGCCAAGTACGCGCCGTTCTCCGTTGCCGTCGAGCCCTGACCCTGCCCTGCAAGAACAGCCCACAACACAGCCCGTGAGCCCTCGTCCACCGAACGCGCTCGCAGCGCGCGGTTCAGGTTCATGGGAATGCGCAGGTAGAAGGGGAGAGCATTGTCGGCGCCTGTCTTGACAGTGCCGGGACAGGCATTGTTCGCCACAACGTCACCATGCTGTTGCTGAAGGCGTACCCCGAGCTCCCGCACAAACAGAGCAACGAAAAGCTTCGTGTCCGGGTAGCGGCGGAGTGGGGAATACGCGGCGCGAGCAGCGTAGTGTGGGAGAATACCAGAGGTGGCCGTGGCGGCAGGAAGTCCCGGAGAGTGGAAGCCCTGTGCGAGAGAGCCGACCCAGGTGATTGTGGGATGGTGCGAGGCAGTGGTGCGCTGAAGCAGCGGGAGCAGCATCAGCGAGAGAAGCGCATTGGAGAGCACGTTGACTTGCATACACCTGTCATTTTGTGAGGTTGGGTGAGCACGTACGGCAACAGTGAGGAGCGAAGAGCGCAAGCGTACCTTTCATGCCCGTCGACCGTCTGCTCGAAGCGCGCGAGGTTGATTCCCGCGTTCAGCAGCAGCACGTCGAGTCTCTTCTCCGACTGCTCAACCTTTCTGGCAAACGCGGCCACGCTGGCGAAGCTGGACAGGTCGAGCTCGTGTATAATGATGGCGCCGGTGGGATTGACAGCGCGGACACGGGCATCGGCCAACAGTTCAAGCCGCACGGCCAAGCCTCTAACGACGTCGCGTACGCCGAGGACGACGTTGGCCGCGCCGAGACGCAGCACTTCCAGGGCGAGTTCATGCCCAATGCCGCCCGTCGCGCCGGTGATGACGACTGTTTGCCCAGTGAAGGAGGCCGTAGCCGGGAGGGGCGGGATGGGTGTCTGGTAGAAGGGCATGGTGGCGGGCTTGAAGCGAAAGGTCGGCAAGTTGGAGACAGGAGAAGTCTAGGTAGGTGGAAGTGAGTGGGAGAAAGGTAGGTTGATCGAGTGAGGGGAGCAGAAGTCAATGCGGGCGTGGGCTGACGGCGAAAGATGGATGGCGTGGGAGACAAGTCGACAACCGATTACTGAATTGGGACACGACCACCGACCTACCTTTTCCAGGCGTCAGCTTACACTAAGACAGTGCTCAAAGGATTTCAGCTTGGTGAGCCCCCCAACTCGCAGCCTTACGCTTATGTGGCGCTCCTCACCTCCTTGCCCCCCCTGCCCCGCCACCTGCACTGTCAGCGCCTCGTTGGGAATGCCTACCATCACGCCTCGATTCTCGACCATTGTCTACCAGCTTGACGACAAAGGCCCCTTTATAAAAGCATCCGCAAGATGCCAAAAGTTTGTACCTCTCAAGCTCGTCCTTCACTGCAAGCTGTAGACCTTCCTCTTCCATATACCAAAAAAAGAGTCATTTTTTAGATTTCTTTTCATTCCCCCTTATCCTCATACACCATGTCCGCCAGCATGCGATTGAATGGGAACCTCGACGCCGAGTCTTCCTCTGAGGGCAGCTCGCCGTCGTCCCGCGTCGACGCTGACTCGAGCAACTCCTCAGTCTACTCCAGTGACGCCGAACTGGGAGCCCGCCAGCCTGTTGCCGATGACCCCAGCGTCATCGTCGGCATGGCATGCCGCTTCCCTGGGGCAAAGAACCCATCCCAGCTGTGGAATGTGCTCTCCCAGAAGGAGGACCTTCTGCGGAAGATGCCTGCGGACCGCTTCAACGTCGATGCCTTCTACCACCCCCAAGGCACGAACAAAGGCACGGTTCGTAGCTCCCCCCATACAACCCATTTTCCTCCAGCTGATGTGCCTGCCATCTAGACCAATGCTCGCTACGGGTACTTCCTCGACCAGGGCATTGACGAGTTCGACAATGAGTTCTTCCGCATCTCGGGCAAGGAGGCCGAGGCCATGGACCCGCAGCAGCGGCTCCTCCTCGAGGTCATCTACGAAGCTCTTGAGGAAGGTCAGTAGCCATACACTAATTCATGCGAGCCATTGGCACTAACACGTTCATCTAGCCGGCATCCCCATGGAGCAGGTCCGCGGTACACGCACTTCCGTCTACGTGGGATCTTTCTCCAACGACTACAACTCGATGTTGACCAAAGACCTCGCACAATACCCCAAGTACACCGTCACCGGTGCGGGTAATGCCATCCTCTCCAACCGTATCTCATACGTCTTCGACCTGCACGGCCCCTCCGTCACCATCGACACGGCCTGCTCCTCCTCGCTCGTCTGCCTGCACTTCGGCAACCAGTCGCTGCAGCACGGCGATGCCGACATCGCCATCGTCGCCGGCTCCGCCCTGCACTTCGACCCCAACATTTTCATCACCATGACCGACTTCGGCATGTTGTCGACCGACGGCCGGTGCCGCACCTTTGACGCCTCTGGCTCCGGCTACGTGCGCGGCGAGGGTATCGCCGCCGTCGTCCTCAAGCGTCGCTCCGTCGCCGAGGCCGCCGGCGACCCTATCCACGCTGTCGTCCGCGGCTCTGGCGCCAACCACGACGGCACTAAGGCTGGCCTTACCCTGCCCAACGGCGCCGCTCAGGCCTCCCTCATCCGCAGCACCTACAAGGCTGCTGGCCTCGACCTCACCGACACCGACTACTTCGAGGCGCATGGGACTGGTACCCGTGCCGGTGACCCCATTGAGGCCAATGCCATTGGCAGTGTTTTCGCCGCCTCGCGTGACAAGCCGCTGCTTGTCGGCTCGATCAAGTCGAACTTGGGGCATCTCGAGGGTGCGTCTGGCCTTGCTGGTATCATCAAGGCGACCATGTCCGTCGAGTCTGGCAAGATCTTCCCCAACATGCACTTCAACACGCCCAACCCCGACATCGACTTCGACCGTCTGAAGATCAAGGTCCCGACGCAGTTTGCCGACTGGGAGACCCCGACGGGCCTGCGCAGAGCGTCTGTCAACTCCTTCGGCTACGGAGGTTCCAATGCCCACATCATCATTGAGAACTACCGTTCCAGGGCCACTGCTCTCGCCTCAATCCAAGAGTACGCCCAGGCCACGGAGGTCATTGACAACACTACGGCTGCAAGGCCCTACCTCCTGCCCCTGACGACGCACAACGACAAGGGCGGCAAGAACCTCGTCGCCGACCTGGTGGCCTATGTCAATGCCCACCCGAACCTCAAGCCCGCCGACCTCGCCTACAGTCTCAGCGTACGGCGCTCAATGCACCAGCAGCGTTCCTTCGCCATCGGCCACGACCACAGCTCCGTGTTGCAAAGCCTGCAAGAGCCGCTGCCCGTGGCCAAGTGGACGCGGCGCAGCGAGCGCACGCCGCGCGTCGGCTTCGTCTTCACGGGCCAGGGCGCCCAGTGGCACGCCATGGGCCGCGAGCTGCTGGAAAAGTCGCCGCTGTTCCGGCAGACGCTCGAGTACTGCGACACCGTGCTGCAGGCGCTGCCCGACCGGCCGGACTGGACCTGCGTCGGCGAGCTGAGCAAGTCGGCTGACGAGTCGCGTCTCGCGCAGAGCATCTTCTCGCAGCCGCTGTGCGCTGCGCTGCAGCTGGCCATCGTCGACCACCTGCGTGCCTGGGGCATTGTTCCTGCGGCTGTTGTTGGCCATTCGTCTGGTGAGATCGCCGCCGCGTATGCCGCTGGCATCTTGACTTTCGAAAACGCCATCATCTGTGCTTACTACCGCGGGCTGTACATGTCGCAGGGCACTGCGCCCGGTTCGTTCAACAAGCGCGGCGCCATGATTGCTGTGGGCATGACGGAAGCTGAGGGCAAGGCTGAGCTGGAGAGTTACACCGGCCGCATCGCTCTGGCCGCTGTCAACAGCCCTTCCAGCCTGACAATGTCTGGTGACGAAGACGCTGTTCTTGAGCTCAAGGAGAACCTGGAGAAGCGCAAAGTGTTCGTACGCCAGCTCCGGGTCGAGCAGGCGTTCCACTCTCACCACATGCTGCCGCTCGCCCCGGGCTTCGAGAAGGCACTGTCCGGCACTCCCGGCTTCGCCCCCACCGAGGCGCAGTGCCAGATGGCCTCCAGTGTCACCGCTCGCGACTCCGCGGCCAGGCCCATGGACGCTTCCTACTGGGCTGCCAACATGACTGGCGTGGTGCGTTTCTCCGACGCACTGACGGGCATCTTGCTCGACGAGGATGACGAGCAGAACGTCGACGTGCTCGTTGAGATCGGCGCGCACCCTGCTCTGCAGGGCCCCTCGCGCCAGGTCCTCAAGAGCCTGAAGCTCGAAGTCCCGTACGTGGCTACCCTGACGCGCAGCGACCCCGCATATGAGAGCCTGCTCTCCACTGCGGGCCAGCTCTTCGCGCTCGGCTACCCCGTCGACCTTGCTGCGGCCAACAGCACCCTGTCGTTGACCAACAACCGCGACGTCGAGCGGGTTTCCCAAGGAACGCTCCTTCGCAACCTGCCCAGCTACTCTTGGGACCACGGCAAGTTCTGGGCTGAGACGCGCCTCATCCGTGAGAACCGTCTGCGCAAGATCCGGCACTCGCTCCTTGGAGCGCAGATGCCAGGAGCTCCCGGGAACCACCCGCGTTGGCGTAACTTCCTGCGCCTGTCCGAGATTCCGTGGTTGACGCAGCACGTGGTTGATGGGAAGACCATTTTCCCCGCCGCTGGCTACATCTCCATGGCGCTCGAGGCGGTGGCAGCGACGATGCCGGATGCGAAGCAGTTCCAGCTGAAGGACGTTGTTTTCAAGAACGCGCTCACACTGACAGCCGATGAGAACGGCACGGAGGTGATGCTTGACCTAGAGCCGCTGGCCACTTCGGCCAAGAGCTTCTCTAGCACGTGGCACCGCTTCTCCATCGTCTCGTATGACAATGCCGGCATGACGTTTGAGCACTGCCACGGCTTGGTCATGGCCGAGAGTGGTCCCTCCGAGCCTGTTACGAAACTTCCCGCTAGCGATGGTCTGGCGCAGCTCCAAAAGGCGTCGACCCGGAGGCAGGCTGCCGACAAGTATTATTCACAGCTGCGCAAGATGGGTTTGGACTACGGCGAGGACTTCCGCCTTGTGAAGGGTTACGTCGAGAGTGGCGACGGCTACTCGGTAGGTGAGCTCGAGTTTGACCCCACGAAAGTAGTCGCCTTGGAGGCAGATGCGTGCATTGTTCATCCTAGCTTCCTGGACGCGGCGTTCCATGTCATCTTCGCTGCCATCGGGACGCAGGCGTCGAGGAACTTGAACGAGGCCTTTGTACCCACCTTCATCAAGTCCGCCAAGTTCTCCGGCGTCTTGGCTGAGAAGAAGCACGAGACCGATTTGCAGCGTTTCTGGGTCAAGTCAGACACGAAGCTTCCTGGATCTCGTATCGCCTTGAATGATCTGAAGATTCAGACCGACTCCTCTCATGACTGTGTCATTCACATGGCCGGCTTGGAACTCACGGCTCTTGGCAACGATTCGTCAGAGGAAGAGGCGAAGCGCAGTCTCTTCTTCGGACTCCGATGGCAGCCTTTGTTCTCACGGCTCAACTCGGCCCCATCGGCCTCGCGCTTCTCCGACTTGGCTGGATTGGTCGATGTGTTTGCTCACCAGTACCCTGACGCTGCCATCCTCCATCTCACCTCGCAAGTATCAACTGCTAAGGAGGCTTTGCGCCACGCCGGTGGAGCGAATGGGGAAAGGCGTAGGATTGGCAGCATCACTCCCTTCTTCCCTGTGGAGCCTGCGTCGGTTGACTGGAAGGAGCTGGAGTCTGGCTGGCCTGGCATTGTAAACCTGGCTGAGCCCGAGCCGGCCACCTATGACTTGGTCATCCTTAGCGAGCCATGCTGCCATGATGCAGTCAAGTACCTCAAGCCCGATGCCTACCTTGTCACGGAAGGCTCTACGGTGGATACCACCGGGCTGACCACGGTCCTGGAAGCAGGCCAGTTCAAGGTCTGGCAGGCTACCAGCTCAGATGTCTCTCACGAAGAGAGTCTCACCATCGTCACGTCCAACAAGCCTTCAGACCGCACCCGGGAGATTGCCTCGACCATAGCCAGAGAGTACGATGGAGACGTCGAAATGGTGCCTTTGGCAACCGCAAAGGTTTCGACCTCCAATGTCGTTTCTCTGGTCAGCTTGGACGAGGATGCATTCTTCGAGCAGAACCCGGATGATGAAGTGACGTTGTTGCATGCTCTGCAAAGTCTCCTGACTAGCTCGGCATCAAACATTTTGTGGGTACTCGAGGGTGCAGCTCTCGACTCGCCGCGCCCGGCCCAGGCCGTTATCGTTGGCCTTATGCGGGCTCTCGGCAGCGAAAACGAGGATGTGCGTGTCGCGACGCTCGACCTGCCGCTCGGCACTGAGACGCCCAACGCTGCGAGCCGCACCCTCGAAGCTCTTCTCGAATGCAAGACCGAGACACAGATCGCGGAGCGCAACGGCTGCCTGATGGTGCCCCGCATCGAAGAGGATGAGGCACGCAACCAGAAGCTTCCCGTTGCAGGAAACCGGCAGGCTCGCCTTGAGGCCTTCCGGGGTAACGGACGCAACCTTGCGCTCAAGATTGGCAAGACAGGTCTGCTCGACACGCTCGCGTTCGAAGACGACGAGGACGTGGCGAATCCGGAACTGGGCGCAGACGAGGTGGAAATTGAGGTTCGTGCCTCGGCGCTCAACTTCAGAGATATTGCCGCGTCGATCGGCATTATCGACGACTACCGACTCGGTGATGAAGCCGCAGGCGTGGTGCTCCGCGCGGGCAGCAACATTGACCCGGCCGAGTTCAAGCCTGGCGACCGGGTATTGACGGTCAAGCCCGGACAGGGAGCTCACCGGTCGATAGTACGCAACACGGCGCTGCTGACGCAGAAGATTGGCGACATGGACTTTGTGACGGCAGCGTCGTTCGAAGCGGTGCTGACGACGGCGTACTACTCGCTGTTGACGGTGGCACGGCTGTCGGCGGGCGAATACTGCCTGATCCACTCGGCGGCTGGCGGCGTGGGCCAAATGGCGATCCAGCTGGCGCAGATGGTCGGGGCGAACGTCATCGCGACGGTGGGCTCGGCAGACAAGAGGGAGTTCCTGAAGACGCGGTTCGGACTGAGCGACGACATGATCTTCTCGTCGCGCGACCCGTCCTTCGTCGAGGGTGTGTTGCGGGTGACGGACGGACGCGGGTGCGATGTTGCGCTGAACAGTTTGGCGGGCGACTTGCTCCACTCGACGTGGAAGGCAATCGCGCCCTTTGGCCGACTGATCGAGATTGGCAAGCGCGACATCCACGAGAACACCAAGCTCGACATGGATCCCTTCCGCCGCAACGTCACCTACGCCTCGGTCGACCTGATCACCATGTACCACTGCAACCAGCCCCTGCTCTCGCGCCTCATCCGCGATTCCTACGCCCTCGTGCGCGATGCCAAGATCCAGCCCCCGGGCCCCTTCCAGGTCTTCAGCTACGCCGAGGCCCAGAAGGCCTTCCGAACCCTGCAGATGGGTCGCTTCTTCGGCAAGGTCGTCCTGGTTCCGGACGACAACGAGCTCGTCCCCGTCATGCCGCCCTCGTACCGCGACGTGCAGCTCTTCAACCCTGACAAGTCATACCTCCTGGTCGGTGGCCTGGGTGGTGTCGGCAGGTCGCTGGCCGAGTGGCTCTGCCGCAGAGGCGCCCGCGAGATTGCCTTCCTCTCCCGCTCTGGTGCCCGTGGCGCAGAAGCCCAAGCAACGGTTGAGTGGCTTACCGAAAAGGGCGTCTCCGTCTACGTCTTCCAGGGTGATGTCTCCAAGCCAACCGATGTTGACAAGTGCATCCGCTCTCTCCGCCACAACCTCGGCGGCATCTTCCAGGCTGCCATGGTGCTTCGCGATGTTCCCTTCGCTCAAATGACTATTGATCAGTGGCGCGCTTGCGTCTACCCGAAGACGTACGGCACGCGCAACCTCCACGAGGCCACCAAAGATCTGGACCTGGACTTCTTTGTGTGTTTCTCCTCCTCTTCGGCTGTCGTTGGCGCCGTTGGCCAGGCCAACTACGCTGCCGCCAACGCCTACCTTGACGCCCTGATGCGTTATCGCCGTGAGCAGGGCCTCGCCGGTACCACGATGAATGTTGGAGCTATCCAGGGTGTTGGTGTCGTCGCTGAAGACGCTGCTCTTGCAACCATCATGGAGCGTCTTGGTTACGACATGGTCTCGGAATCGGAGCTCTTCTACCAGATTGAAGAAGCCGTCACTGCTCCCAAGACAGTTTTGTCGACCCCGCGCGGAAATGATGCCCACCAGATTGTCTCGGGTGTCAACACGTCGCGCAAGGACGTGTACTGGGCAAAGGCGCCCCTTTTCCGGAACTTGTACGCCAACCTCGACCTCGGTGACAAGGCCAACCGCGGAAGTGGCACCCAGAACCTCGCTGCAGCATTGAAGAATGCAGCCGATGCGGACGAGCGTGCTAGCGTCCTGACGACCGCCTTCCTCGAAAAGGTAGCGGCCGTCATGGGCGCTCCTGTGGAGTCTATCCAGGCCAAGAATCCGCTCTCCGCATACGGACTGGACTCCATTGTCGCCGTCGAATTCCGCAAATGGTTCTCCAAGACTGTGGCTGTTGATGTTCCGCTGTTTGATATTCTTGGCGCCACCTCCATTGAAGCGCTCATTGGCAAGGTCAACGCAGCAATGCAACTCGGAGCGCTCGGATCTGAGAAGACAGAGAACACTGCGACGGCGGCTGACCAGGCCCTCCTTGCAAAGCGAAAGGGAACTGCAGCAGTACAGGCGCTCGACTTTGCCTCTGTTACTTTGCCCGCTCACATTCCTCTTTCAAGCTACCAAAGGCGGATTTGGTTCCTTCACAACCTACTGCCCGATCCCAGCTCCCTCAACTTCGTCACTTCTCACCGACTGGAGGGCCGGCCGCGGCTTGAGATGTTCCGAGAAGTGATTACGGAGATGCTCAAGCGCAACGGTATTCTGCGCACTTGCTATTTCGAAGGAGACGACTTCGCCGAGCAGAAGGTCCTCGATGACTACCAAGCCGACATCGACTATGAGGATCTCTCGTCTGCTGCCGATCCCGAAGCGGCTGCGCTGGCTTCCGTCAAGGCTGCGCGCGCGCAGACCATTGACATAGAAAATGGGGAGTCGATGAGATTGAAACTGATGAAGCTTTCGCATGCGCAGTACATGATAAGCATCGTCTTCCACCACATCTGCCTCGACAACGGCAGCTCCAAGTCTTTCATGGACCAATTCTTCAACTTGCACGAAGCCATTGCGGCCGGAAAGGACATTTCCAGCGTACCGGCGCCAAAGGTGTCTTATGCCGAATTCTCCGTCTGGCACAATCAGTTCCTGGAATCTCCCCAGGCCCTCTCAGACCTTGCCTGGTGGAAAGAGACACTTGGCGATGCATCGCGCGTTTCCGCGCTTCTGCCATTTGCCAAGTCCAACCGTCAGGGTCAGAGGACGGGTGAACGGGTGACGCTGCAGGAAACGGTTTCGCTTCCTTTGTTGAAGCGCATGAAGCGTATTGCTTCTCAGACAAACTCCACACCGTTCCACTTCCTTATGGCTGCATTCCGCGCCTTTGTTCATCGCTACACGGATGAAGACGACCTGACGATCCTCATGATCGATGGCAACCGGCCGCACCCAGACCTTGGAGACACCCTCGGATTCTTCGTCAACATGATCCCGCTGCGCTTCAAGGATCATTGCGAGTTTACGTTTGAGCACCTTGTCCAACGTGCGAGGACCATCGCGTTGGACGCTCTGTCCCACAATGCCACGCCCTTTGACAGCATCGTGGATGCCCTTGGCGCTGAACGCACCGATTCACACTTCCCCTTGGGCCAGATCGCGGTGAACTACCAGATGTATGGTGAACCTCCAAAGTACTCAACTGCCGACTTTGATATAGTCGGAAACGAAATGGAGGATATCCCTACTGCTTGCGACATGCAACTAGAAGCAGTCGAGGATTCAGCCACTGGGCTCAAGCTCAAGCTTCAGTATGATCCGTCTTTGTACGGCGGAGAGGACATGGAGCGCTTCTCGGAGAATTTCCTCGCCTTCCTGTCCAGCGCCATCAAGGACCACCGCCAACCGATCACGAGTATCAACATGTGCGGCAGCAAGGAGCTGGCTTACCTCCGCGAACGTTGTTGGAACGTGCAGCCAACACCAAACGAATGGAATGACCGGTCTGTCGTGAGCCAAGTCGTCAGGCTCGCCGAGCTACAGCCCAATGCGGTAGCCATCAAGACTTCGGACGGCGAAAGCATCACCTATCGGGACATTGTAATGCAGGCTCAATCGATTGCCGCAAAGCTCAAGTCATACGGGGCCGGGGCTGGAGACATTGTCGGGCTCCTGTTCCAACCGGGGATTGACTTGGTTGCGGCCATGATGGGTGCCTCATTTGCCCGTTGTGGATACGCTCCTCTCGACCCCAGCTTTGCGAGTGAAAGGCTGCGCCACATGATTTCGGACTCTTCGGCTTCCATCCTATTGGTCGCTCCGGAACTTGATGCGACGGCAGCCGAACTCTGCGGTACGGACATCCCGGTGACTCGAGTGGTCCTTTCTCCGGACGACACACCGATCGCCACCTCTCTGTCATACGAGGAAATGTCCCAGAACGATCCGTTCTATGTTATCTACACTTCCGTTAGTAGAAAGTCCTGTTAGGTATGCTCAACTGTTAACGCGACAATCAGGGGAGCTCTGGAAAGCCCAAAGGTGCGGTTTTGACACATGGCAATACCCAAGCTATGCTCAGCAGCCACAATGCATTCCACGAAATGTCATCTCGCGACAAAGTTTTGTTCCATTCTTCTGCAGCCTTTGACCTCTCGGTGGCGCAGATCTGGGGCGCACTTACATCCGGCGCCACTATCCTTCTTGCGAAGCAGGACATCCGCAAGGACCCGCAGAGGCTGGCAACTTTCATGCAACAAGGGCGCGTGACTGTAACCTACTTTCCTCCCACCCAGTTTGCGCTCATCCTGGAGCACAGCAGCGACATCTTGAAACAGTGCTCGGAGTACCGCAACGCCATCTTTGCAGGCGAGTACCTGCCTGTGAGGCTGGTCAAAGCGATTTACAGCCTTGGCACGCCTGTCACGGTATTCAACCAGTGGGGACCGAGTGAGACCACCGTCCAGACGACATCTCACAAGACTCCTCCACCCAGCGCAGTCGACGTGAACCTTCCCATCGGATTACCTCTCGCCAACAACTCTCACTACGTTGTTGACGACACCTTGCAGCCTGTTCCTGCCACTGTTACCGGCGAAATTTGCATCGGCGGTGCACAAGTTGGCAGCGGCTACCTTAACCGACCAGACGTAACAGCGCGCACTTATCTGGATGACCCGTTCGCGTCCGACGCCTTCAGAGCTCGGGGCTGGAGTACTCTTTACAGGACGGGAGACAAAGGCCGCTTTCTTCCCAATGGTGAACTCGACTTCAAGGGCCGCATCTCTGGCGACAGGCAGATCAAACTTCGCGGATACCGGATTGATCTCGCTGAAGTCGAGAACGAGGTCCATGCCGCTTCTCTGCACCTCCCTACTGCGACGAAACTGATTGACGTTGCCGTGTTGCCGCGCGGACTTAGTGCCGGTAACGACCATCTTACAGACGACAGGCAATTGATTGCCATTCTCGTTCCCAAAGAGTCAATCTCTTCGGGGGAGAAGCAGGCGGTAATCAACGCATTGCATGCAAACATCCGCCCGCATCTCAACGACTACATGCTCCCCAGCGGATACCACTTCACCGATGCTCTTTCCAACCTCATCAGCGGTAAGATCGGCAGACAGCACCTTCTCACTATGGAGTTGGACCTGGTCTTCCCCTCGACCCAAGCACTGGAAGACCAAGCTCGCGAAGAAACGCGCTCTGAAGCGGACGAGATCCTGGAGTCCGTGACCGGCTTGTTCAAGGTGGTGCTGAAGCTTCCTGCCGGCGGGAACGTGAGCCCCACTCAAAGCTTTTTCGATCTTGGTGGCCAGAGTCTGCTGCTCCTGCGTCTACAGGCGGCACTCAAGCGGCAATTCAAGGTCAAGATCGATCTGAGGGATCTGTTCGCGCATCCTACACCGCTCGGAATGATGAAGCTAGTCGCATCTGCTACTGGAGTTGACATCAGCGAGGTAGCAACGCCGTCTGCTGCCCAAGATGGCGAGATCGACTGGAGTGCTGAAGCCACGCTGCCCGACGACGCTGCATTCTATCCTTCAGCCTCGGCAACTCTACTTCCGCGAAGTGAAATAACCGAGATCCTGCTCACCGGTGCTGAAACTCCAACTGGGATTCGCATGCTTCTCCGCTTGCTTTCAGACCGACCTCGCGCCACTATCACCGTCCTTGGCTCACAGGCTCCTCTCTCTGAACAGCACTTGCGATCTCTCATATCTGATCTTGGCCGATCTGTCCCAGCTGATTTCAGCTCTCGCATCCGCATTCTGCCCGGCAGTTCTCTCACCTCTCCAAACCTCGGCCTTACGAACCAGCAATTCGCGACCCTCGGTGCACGCTTGCAAGCTATCTACCATTTCGGCGGCTCGGTCTCACTGCTCAAGTCCTATGCGGACCTGCGCCGGCCAAATGTTCTCGCGTTGCACGATCTGATCCGGCTGGCAGCCCTCAACACGCAGCACCGGGCCGAAATTCACTACCTCTCCACGTGGAGTGTCGTGCATCTTCAGGCCTGGCACTCGACCAAGCGCACGCACAACGGACCTGGCTTCGTCACGAATGAAGTTGCGCCCGATCACTTCGTGCCTGGAAAGGAGGAGCAATTTGCCTACTTCCAATCACGCTGGGTCGCAGAAATGCTCCTGACGCAAGCAGCGCGGCGCGGTATGGCCATTGCCATCTACCGCGGGTCAGCACTCGGCGAGACGGCGGCAAACAAGAAGAGCAAGAAAGAGCAGCAGGAATCGGACACGGACAACTTCTATGTGGATCTCCTGCGCAGCATGGTCCAGAGCGGCGAGGTCCCAGACCTGGACGAGAACGCCGGTATCGATGTCGATATTGTGCCTGCTGACTATCTCGTCAGCGTCGTGGCGCGCCTGTCATGCGCAGAGGCGGCAAGGCCTGTCGAGCAAGCCGCTGGCGCAGGAGCTGAGCCAGCCGTCTTCCACGTGCGCAACCCTCGCTCTCTCGCACAGCGCGACGTCCCTGCGCTGATTGCGCAGCTGCGCGGTAACGCACGCGTCGAACCCGTGCTCTCAGCGAAGGACTGGGTCGAGAAGTTGGCGCCGGGAGACGATGGAAGTGAGCCTGCTAAGGGGAGGATGGCGGCAACTGTAGGGGGCGAGTATCTGAGGGTTGGACACAGGATTTTCAGCCTCGACGATCGCAAGACCAGGGAGGTTCTGAAGGGTCTGGGGTGGGATGAGAATGAGTGCCCACCTGTTGAGGGGGCGTGGTTCGAGGAGTTGCTGGGCGTGAAGTCGTAGGTTTTTGTTGGTTGGGCGGTTTTGGGTAGGCGGGTTTCTTTTGTATAGGTACTTTCATTGGGATTTGGGAGTGTTAGCAGATCGCAGACGTTTGTAGTTAGCCAACCTGGCTGCCTTTTCCTTTTCATATATAGTAGCTCTCATTGAATAGACTCTTGTTTGGTTCAGCCTTTGTCCGTTTTTCACATCGCGCTTAATCAGTGCTCACGCTTTTAAATTTCATTTCTGTCGACGCTAGATTGCGGAGTTGTCCTGTAAAAAATTTGTTAGCCAAATCAGTGAAAGGGCCGGGTTGATCTTGCTGGTGTTGTTGGGCTTGATTGAACTTTTCACGTAATTGGATAGCAATACTTTGGAAATGACGAGTCAAACTAGTTTCGTTACTTCGTTGGTGTTTGTGCGTGAAAGATCATGATATTTCGGGGAGACGTCCCTGCATGCTTCCGTGAAAACGCCAATTACAAAAACCACTCTTTGAACCGCAGCGATTTTAAGTCACTGGTCGGTCTTGTATAGATCTCTTTTCCAAATTTATTAATTGATGCGGCGAAAGTGTGGAGTTGTGCAACAGACGCGAAGTGGATATGGACTAAGTTTTAATTCTGGAATTTTAGGAAGCTACACATTTCGTATGAAAGATAGTTTGACTGTAAATCAGTAACTCGCACTTAACCTACTGTCTCGATTTAATTCCACTTCCCCAAAGAGTGGGGGCAAGAAGGTAAGAAGAGGCTTTTGTTGCACAGATATGCCGAGTGTCACGCTTTCTACGGCATGTTTTCTTGCATGGCCCACTCATCAAAGCCACCCTGGTAAACAGACGCTAGGATCTTACCGAACCGAGGCGCCCTCGTGCGCCTATGCAGTTTTGGGTCGAGAACACTGTCAGCCTTGGATGAGCTGGAGAATATTTGCCTGGTTTCCGGGGGTGATTTGGAATTTCTGGACAGGCTTTTCAGCCTTGCCGCGGAAGCGGGTGACTGGAAAGCCTCACTGCCTCACACCACGAGAGCCTGCAGCTTTTCTTGGGCGGTAATTGCCTCGGTTTGAACGTCAATGCATCCTCCCCTCAGTTCCTACATACCTTGACCCTCTTTCAAAGGTGCATGAAGGCCTACAGGGGCCCTACCGGATTAGTTTTCACACCACTTGAATGAAGCAACCTCTGGGCTCGCAGCAAGGTAAAGGATTTGCGCTCCAGCCACCACACTTCTGTCGCCTATACATTTCCCTTCTCGATCGGGGCCTGAGGTCGTATACCAGGTCGTTGATCGCTCTGTCATTGGGTACACCAAGGTATGCAGGACAGAACGCGGCACCGGTTGAAATGCCCGAGTTCCGTATGAGTGATGATGCCTTGAAGTTACATTTATGATTTTTGCTCAATTGGGCAACGTATGTGGGCATCTTTTCCTAGAGAGTTGAAGGCGAAGGGGTTATAAATTAATGTGCAGATGCGGGAGACCTAATAAAACCCCCAGGCCTTGCTTTGATTGTCAATTGCCGAGCGATCGGATCTGCAAGTAAATAGGCGATTTGGTTTTGTTGCTCTGGATTTCTCGGCATGCGCAGGGAACGAAGGGAAACGGGAATAAACGAGGTGGAGCGTTTCCTGCGAGCGGGTTTGTTAAGCCTTTTGCATCTTCTCGGCTCGTTGGAAAAAATCACGGACATTAGCCTAAAACGGCGACAATGGTACCTGTCAACCTGTCAGGCCATGCGATGCGTGGCTCAAGGACCAGGGTTCTCCGCTTTTTGCCCCTGCGCCAGAGAAAAAAGCATCCTTGAAGTTTTTTGCTTATGTGACCCAAGCCTGGCTCGCAGATATCTCGGTTTGAGAGTTTTCGAGCAAAGGTGGTTACGGACCTACGGTCGCGAGATTACGTGAGCCTCCACGTGGAGAGTGGGGTGGCCAGAACAACACCAGTTATGCTCCATTGGTAGAACGCTATCAGTTGATACGAGGAGCGGGGATAAGCTTCCTGGTGCAGACTTTTCATGTCCTAGTTTTTTGACAACGTGAAAGCACGAGGCCAAGGATGCTTATTGCCAATCCATTATTATGGGTATCACGCCTTACTAGGCTGAGGAGTCAGCATTGGCATCAGGCTCAACGGAAGGTTGCGGCTGCGCGGAGATGTTTTCGTCTGTAAGGTACCAGTTCGTGAGAGCTCCAGAGAAGGTGAATGAAAGATGTACTTCGCAATCGCAAAACTGCATTAAATGTATGTCTTAGTGTTTGATGGATTACCATCCCAAGAAAATGAACGATCAAACATCGTGAGACATTAAATAAATGAGCGGATTCATAGCCAGGAAAATCAAAATATCTTCCACTTCACCTAGGTGGTTCCTTTGTCCTCATCTTTTTCGGACTTGCTGTTTGGCCGTACATCGTGATCCGTATCCTTATGCGTTTCTTCAACCACTCGTGCGTCACTGGCAGTGCCTTCGTGCCCCTCTTCTGTTGGTCGCGTGCCATCATTAGCATCTCCACGCCTCTCTTCTGCCGATTGTGTATCGATGGTGTCTCCATGATTTTCGTGTGTTGACTGTGCATCATCGTTGATGTCTCCAGACGTCTCTTGCGTCGGCTCTGAATCGTTGGTGTCTCCACGAGCGTCTTCCGTCAACCTTGAATAATTAACATTATCTCCATTTCTCTCTTCCAAGATGTCTGCCAATGGGCCGTTCTGGCTCCTGGTGTTGCTGGTCTGACTCCAGTCGCTCACCCTTCTTTCTAGCGGAGAATGCGCTGGACTGCCGAGGCTCCTTAGGCTTCCTCGTCTCCTCGCTGCATCAACATCATCGGAGTTGGTTGGATCTGCCTCGGCGTCTTCTTGTTGCCTTCTTGCAACGGCATCAAGCCCATTCGGGCTCGGATAGGCAGGCACCTTTGGGCTGGGCAGCGGCGTATGGTCGGCGCTACTTGTCAAAGACCCTTCCATTTCATAGATGTATTTCATTCGGGCATTAGTGTCGGCTATATCATCTTGGCTTCCGGCGCTGGACGAGCGTGCATGTGGGCTAATGTACCCAAGCGGGGCATCACCCTCCATTTCGGCAAGTTTCGGCTTCGGTTGGAACATCTCATGTATAATGTTGGTTGACCCTTCCAATTCCTCGCTGAGGTGGCGTTTGTGTTCGCGGTTGATAGCCTCGAGAGCTGCTTGCGCCGGCGTAGGAGCAGAGGGGTCTTGTGGGAGTTCGTTCATACCAGGTACAATCTCCTCGGGGCCCTTGGTGAAGGGGTTTCGGAAGAAGGAATTGATTCGGGAGCCGGCGCGTGGCCGAGGTGTAGTAGACCCTGTCGAAACCGAAAGTGGCCTGGACTTTTTTGCTGCGGCTCGCTTACGGGTGTATATCCAGAAAACCAATGCAGCAATCAGGAACCCCCCAATGATGCTGCCTACGATGGCACCGGCAAGTGCTCCAGCTGACAGTCCCGATTTGCCGCTATTGTCACCTTGAGTGGGTCCACTAGGGCTGATTTCGCGAGGGGATATAAGTTTCAGGTCAGGCTTGGGGTTCCCCGGACTGCGTGCCCCAACAGTGAATTCTTGGTTCTCGTAATCATAGATCAGGTAGGCCTCTTGAAGGAATGTGCGCCCCAAAGTGCATGCCGCGGTACCCTCCGTCACCTGGATCGGGAAGTAGCGTGAAGACCCGTTTGAATTTGTGATGTTGTTCGGCCACGAGGTGTTCAGCAAAAAACTCTCAATGGGGTATTGGATGGTAACTTCGTTTCGGTTGTCCGAATCGCCAGGTGCACCAAGAGTGATGCTGATGGTCTGCTGTTCGTTCCGCAATTTCGTGTACGCAGTCTCGTTGAGCAGGTACAAATTAGAGACCGGATCCAGAGTAAGGTCAAAGGCCTTTTCCCAAAGCCATATGTCGTTTTGGGGCAGAAAGAGGTATGATAACGCAGAGTCAATTGTTGCGTCGAAGGGCTCCGAAGACAAAGAGATACTACTGGACCCGCTGACCTTAATCGACTTTACGGACACTGTAAGGTCTTTTTCTTCGTCTTGTTGAAAGGGCACCGTGATCCTTGACCCGTTCTCACTGAAACGGCCTGCGTCGTATCCACCGAGAGTCAGGCTGCCAAAGACGCCGTTCTCAGTGTCTACGAATAAAGTTATTAGGCGATTCGATATATGAAAGACTGATCATTGCGTACCGTAACTAGCCCCGGCTGTATAGCCCCATGATAGACTGGGGATGTGCCCTTCGTCTTTCAAAACTTGCAAAAGACTGGGTGCCAGATAATAGGTGTCGTTGACGCTGAAGTTTGTTGGGCGTGGATTCAAGGGGAGCACTCCGAGCCAAAACCATTTGCTGGCTATAACAGCGATTGTTTGGTTCGTCAGTGTGGGGCCACCAGAGGCACCTATGCTAACAGTGTCATATCCCCAAGGCGCTGACGACTCATAATCGGGCTGTGTAAGAGCGTGAAGAGCCCAATCAGGCGGTGTACTCAGGGGATTGTTATGCCAGCTGGAAGAAGCTTCATAATGGAAAATACCTCCGCGTGATCCAGGCGCAAAGGTGTCGCCAGAAGCGTTGCAAGGGATGCCAGGGCGATAAGTGCCTTCTAGGCAACCAAGGGGCGATACAGCCCAAAGAGCAGTCGAACTCGTCGACGGAAACACTCGCACTTTGGTGTCGCGGCTGCCAAGCCTGATGGTAAACGACGACCTTCGGTTGTCAGTCGAGATGTAAGAGAAGGCGACCAGCGGAGAACGGCATACCACGGACCATCGTAGCCATCCCAATACTGCGAGTACCTGGGTGGGGGGGGAGGTTAGCAGAGGCTGGCGGGGTGGTTGCGGGGACGTGCTTACGCGACGTCGAGCGGCGGCGGGATGGAAGTGGCCCGAGGCCCAAGCGCGGTCGCCTCCACCTCAACAAACGCAAGCAGCAGCAACAGCAGCAGCAGCAACGCAGAGCAGCGCGACTTCATGACGGGTGGGGATTGATTGATTGAACGACTGCAGAGACGCCGGGCTGATGAAGGGCAGCGGCGGGCAAGAGCATGGATAAGAGACAGCCACATCATCCGACGCGGCGGGCCCGCAAGGCTGATGCGACGACGACCTCGCACCAGGGCGACTTTGAAAAGAGCCGGTCAGATAGGGCATCGTGCCCATTGTGCGAGCGTTGCATGCATTCGATAGCTGCGCTGCACGAGGGCCCGAAAGGCACACGAGAGCCGCAAGCCGCAGCGAACCTGCCGCTTCTAGCGCGGCCGCATATTGGACGTTTCTGACGGCCTGTCAGCCGCAACAGGGAATGGCTCGGCGGACCGAGAGGCCGCCAATCGGGCGCGTTGCGATGGGCCGAAAAGGTACGCGACCGTGGCCGTCGCACGCCGAGGAGGGAAGGTCACCAAAGTCACGGATCGTGTGACGGCTGCAGGGTTGCGCCCATCACGGCTAGCCCCCTCCCGACGTCGACCACCACCTTTGCCCAACCTCACCCGAATTGTAATCCCGAGGGCACGTGAACCATGCGCCCGCCACAGCGGTGCGCAAATGGCGCAATTGACCCCGGATCGTCATTGTTTGCCTTGTTCTCCCCGGCAGCATTAGCTGTCAGACTATACCCTTCCAAGCAGGTGCCCTCCTACTACTATCCCAGCAAGGCTGAGCGTGGATCTGCAGCCTCTGGGCCAGAACTCTCCTATGCACGAGCTTGTCAGACATGGGCCGATGGGACAATGCGACCATTGTTATGGTACCACTCCGAGAAGGTACTTATTTGCATCTCTAAGCTCGATCACCTGGACTCGGTGCCTGAGCGCCTTTTGCTGTCGCTCCCGTTTTTCGCTTTCGCCGCTCCAAAGCCATAAAGGTCCAATCTGAGCATCATGAAAGCATCTGCCTTCATTCTCGCCGCGGCGGCATTGCTGCCGTTGGCATCTGCGGCCAGCCCACCCGCAGCCATGCCAATCGTCAAAAGAGGTACGCTCAAATAAAATCTACAGCAACTTAAATTCTGGTGCCATTGGGCGCTTGCTTGTTCTATAATTGCTATCGACATGACAGGTCTTCCATTATTGAATTTCTGTCGAGCTCGAACGCGAGAAATAGTTGCTGACCTTGAGAAGACGAAACAACAGTATTTGCAACCTACACCTGGTACCTCCCCAGGTTCTGTCCCGATCGCGGCACACCCGGCACCAGCAGTTTGATCAGTTCAAACACCACTACGACAACCACAACAACCACAACAATCACCAGTGATCCGCCCGGTTACTCGGTTTCTGAGCCCCCAACCACAACCAAACCATCCGATACATCCTCTGATACCACTACAATGACAACGACAACGACAACCGTCACAAGTTCCACCATTGTCCCCCCGAGTTACACGGTTTCTGAGCCAGCCACAACCATTACAAGCTCACCCTCGCTACCAGGCTATGGTACCTCAACCAAGACAACGACGGATCTTTTCTGGTTTACAAGCTGGGGGTTTACCATTTCCAATGGTTTCACTATATCAATCCCGATCCCATCAATCCCGATCCCCTCAATCCCGATCCCCTCAATCCCAATCCCCTTGCCGAGTTTCGGTGTTTCAACTGAATGGACGACATTGTCATCGGCGTGGACATCGACATTGACATTGCCTCCATCGACGTCAGCGTGGACTTCGGCGTGGACATCTTCGACTGCGTGGACGTCGGCTTCCACGTTGACGCTGACTTCTGCATGGACGTCAATATCGACATCGGCATCGGCCTGGACCTCTACATCTGCATCAGCATGGACTTCGACTTCTGCAACGACATGGTCATCAGCGTGGACATCCACGATCCCAGCCTCATTGCCAGGCTATGGAGTCCCAACCGAGACTTATTCTACATATCCCGTTGCAAGCACTTCAACAGAGCGTTCGAGATCGGCCTATGCTGAGCCAAGCAGTGCAGAAGCCACAGGATTGCAGGAACAATCCTCATCCGGGGCCGTGTATGCGCGTCAAGCCGGTGAAAGCCCGCAAGCTTATACAGTATCTACGTACAACTCGGAGGGGTTGAGTGCTTCAACCATACTCACCAGTGCTTATGATGGCCCAGGATATGGGTATGGCTCATCTACCACAGAATCGAGTCCAAGCACTTCCGGTGTCTATGAGGGTCCTGGTTATGGTCCTGACCCATCCGCTACTGGCGGCTACCTCACGCTGTCAGTGGAGGATTGTACTTGTACGGATCCACCCGTCACTACGGACCCACCCGTCACTACAAACCCGCCCATCACAGTCACGTCCAACATACTTATAACTCAGACGGTTTGTATTCCGACCTTCCTTTGGTCTACTATTAGTCTTCCTTCAATCCCTGTGCCTTCATTCAGTTGGCCTACATATCCTTGGTGGCCTCCACATTCGACCACAACTCCGTCAGTCTCTACGCCGTCAGTCACTACTCCCGTAATTACGCCTCCAATCTCTACTACCAGCACTCCCACTTCCGTGGTGAATACAACAACACCTTACATAACTCCGACCCCATCGCATAACACCACTACCTTTCCCCCCTGGTCATCCTCTACAAGTTTGACTCCAACACCAATAAACTCGACTACGATCTCCTCGACTTCCCCGCCTATAAGCAGCCCCACAACACCGACGATCAGCATACCAAGTACACCAACAAGCACCCCGCCGACAAGCACCCCACCGGCAAGCACCCCGCCGACCAGCACTCCACCGACCAGCACCCCAACCAGCATCCCACCAACTAGCACCCCGCCGACAAGCACGCCAACAACAAGCACGCCAACAAGCACGCCAACAACAAGCACGCCAACAAC